TTTTCCCCTCACACTCCTCTCTTTCCTCCCCTCACACCCTGCTCCTTCCTCCCCTCACACTCCTCTCTTTCCTCCCCTCAAATCCTCTCCTTCATCCCCTCACACTCCTCTCCTTCCTCCCCTCAAATCCTCTCCTTCCTCCCCTCACACCCCGCTTCTTCATCCCCTCACACTCCTCTCCTTCCTCCCCTCAAATCCTCTCCTTCCTCCCCTCACATTCCTCTCCTTCATCCCCTCACACTCCTCTCCTTCATCCCCTCACACTCCTCTTCCTTGTCCCCTCACACTCCTCTCCTTCATCCCCTCACACTCCTCTCCTTCCTCCCCTCACACTCCTCTCTTTCCTCCCCTCAAATCCTCACCTTCATCCCCTCACACTCCTCTCCTTCCTCCCCTCAAATCCTCTCCTTCCTCCCCTCACACTCCTCTTCCTTGTCCCCTCACACTCCTCTCCTTCATCCCCTCACACTCCTCTCCTTCCTCCCCTCACACTCCTCTCCCACCTGGGCCATTTTCATCCCTCAGGGAGCGCTTGTTCCTCTCCAGGGCCTGGGGCTCAGGGAATGGATTCCCGGAGTGAAGGACAGACCTGGGGGCTCCTCGGAGCGATGGCTCTGATCCGGGTGGATCCTTCCCAGCTTGGAGCCGAGCTGGTGGGATGGGGCAGGTTTGGGAACGGGGCTGTGATCCCAAAAGGGCTGGGGGAGGATGCTCGGAGCCATCCCACACCTCGGTCCCAGGCTGGGATTGCAGGGTGGGACACAGGGATGGTGCTGGGTCCCTCCTTTCCCCCCAGGACAGAGCGAATTCCAGGCTGGAATCTCAGTATGACCCATGGATGGTGCTGGGTCCCTCCTTTCCCCCGAGAGCAGAATGAATTCCAGGCTGGAATCTGACTGTCCGACCCATGGATGGTGCTGGGTCCCTCCTTTCCCCCCAGGACAGAGCAAATTCCAGGCTGGAATCCCGCAGTGGGACACAGGGATGGTGCTGATCGCTGCCCCCTGAGCTCTGTCAGGGGTAATTAAGGGCTAGGCCGTTACAGTATTAATTAACTGTCTCCCTCTTAACCTCTGAGCGCTCCTCAGACAGCGCCGGTTGCTATGAAAGAGGAGGAAATGAGCGTGGTGGGGTGGGGGAATTAGCGTTTTTTCTCTTAATCAGCAGGAGCCTGCTTAATTGGGCCTGCCACCTCCTGCTTCCCGCTGCTGGGAGCTGCTGCCTGGCAGGGATGGATGAGCTCAGCTCCACGAGGAGCCGTGGGATAACGGGGCTGGGGATGGGCAGGGATCCATCCCTGCTGGATGGGGCGGCAGCAAGGCTCTGGGTGTCCCGGGAGCTGCAGTGTCCCATCCGTGTGTCCCCATCTGTGTGTCCCACCCCTGTGTCTTTCCATCCCTGTGTCCCATCCCTGTTCTCTCCATCCCTGTGTCCCATCCCCATTTCCCCATCCCTGTGTCCCCATCCCAGTGTCCTGTATCCCATCCCTGTGTCCCCATCCCAGTGTCCCCATCCCCGTGTCCCATTCCTGTGTCCCATCCCCATTTCCCCATCCCTATGTCTCATCCCTGTGTCCCATCCCTGTGTCCCCATCCCAATGTCCCCATCCCTGTGTCCCCATCCCAGTGTCCTGTATCCCATCCCTGTGTCCCCATCCCAATGTCCCCATCCCTGTGTCCCCATCCCAATGTCCCCATCCCCGTGTCCCCCATACCCATGTCCCAATCCCTGTCCCCCATCCTGGTGTCCCCATCCCCGTGTCCCCCATCCCCAAGTCCCAATCCGTGTCCCCCATCCCTGTTCTCCCCATCCCTGTGTCCTCATCCCAGTGTCCTGTATCCCATCCCTGTGTCTCATCCCAGTGTCCCCATCCATGTGTCCCCCATCCCTGTGTCCCATCCCTGTTCTCCCCATCCCTGTGTCCCATCCCTGTGTCCCATCCCCATTTCCCCATCCCTATGTCTCATCCCTGTGTCCCATCCCCATTTCCCCATCCCTATGTCTCATCCCTGTGTCCCATCCCTGTGTCCCCATCCCAATGTCCCCATCCCTGTGTCCCCATCCCAGTGTCCTGTATCCCATCTCTGTGTCTCATCCCAGTGTCCCCATCTCTGTGTCCCATCCCTGTGTCCCATCCCTGTTCTCCCCATCCCAGTGTCCCCATCCCTGTGTCCCATTCCTGTGTCCCATCCCCATTTCCCCATCCCCATGTCTCATCCCTGTGTCCCATCCCTGTGTCCCATCCCTGTTCTCCCCATCCCTGTGTCCCCATCCCTGTGTCCCCATCCCTGTGTCCCATCCCTGTGTCTCTTCCCAGTGTCCCCATCCCCGTGTCCCAATCCCTGTCCCCCATACCCATGTCCCAATCCCTGTCCCCCATCCCTGTGTCCCCCATCCCCATGTCCCAATCCCCGTGTCCCATCCCTGTTCCCCCCATCCTGCCGTGCTCCCCGCTCCCTGCAGCTGAGGCACAGGTCCCTCCCGAGGTGGGGACACTCTGCCGAGGTGGGGACACTGACGGTGTCACCGCTGTCCCCGAGGTTCGGTTGGTGCCTGTGGTGCCCTGATAACGCCGGGAGCTGCCCTGGGGGTGCTGCTGGCGGGATAAGGAGGGCCAGGCAGGGAGGGTTCGGTTCTCAGGGCTGCCCCAGAGATGGAAAAGCCCCTGGGGCTGGAATTGGGGCAGTTTGGGACGGCTCTGGGGCTGGAATTGGGGCAGCTCTGGGGCTGGAATTGGGGCAGTTTGGGATGAAGCAGTTTGGGATGGCCCTGGGGCTGGAATTGGGGCAGTTTGGGACGGCCCTGGGGCTGGAATTGGGGCAGTTTGGGATGGAGCAGTTTGGGACAGTTCTGGGGCTGGAATTGGGGCAGTTTGGGACAGATCTGGGGCTGGAATTGGGGCAGTTTGGGACAGCTCTGGGGCTGGAATTGGGGCAGCTCTGGGGCTGGAATTGGGGCAGTTTGGGACAGATCTGGGGCTGGAATTGGGGCAGTTTGGGATGGCCCTGGGGCTGGAATTGGGGCAGTTTGGGATGGAGCAGTTTGGGACCGCCCTGGGGCTGGAATTGGGGCAGCTCTGGGGCTGGAATTGGGGTAGTTTGGGATGGAGCAGTTTGGGACAGCCCTGGGGCTGGAATTGGGGCAATTTGGGACAGATCTGGGGCTGGAATTGGGGCAGTTTGGGATGGAGCAGTTTGGGACAGCCCTGGGGCTGGAATTGGGGCAGCTCTGGGGCTGGAATTGGGGCAGTTTGGGATGGAGCAGTTTGGGACAGCCCTGGGGCTGGAATTGGGGCAATTTGGGACAGATCTGGGGCTGGAATTGGGGCAGTTTGGGATGGAGCAGTTTGGGACAGCCCTGGGGCTGGAATTGGGGCAGTCTGGGGCAGCCCTGTGCTGATTTGGTGCCTCTCTGTGGGGTTTGTGAGGGCTGGTGCTTCCCGTGTGTTCTGGGATCAGCCGTGGACTTTCTCCCTCCTCCCTCCTGTCCTCCCCTGTCCCTCCCCAGGCTGCTCTGCCACCCTGGGCCCCGTCTGGGGCGGATGCTGCTTGTTCTTTATTTATTTTGCCCTCAGAAAGATTTTATTTTCTCTCCATGAGAGCCTCTCCTCGCAGCCTTTTTGCCTCTGGAGTGCCGGGAGCTTCCCTGGAGCTTGGGAACACAGCTAACCCGGGCTGACAAAAAGCCCTTTTCGCCTCTGGCCTGTGCTGTTCCCGCCATGTCCCTGTTTGTCCCTAGAACTCTGAAATGCCAGCAGGAAATCCCAGCCCCCCAAATCCCTGAGGAATGGGGGAGCTGTGGGATGCTCGTGGTCCTTGCCTGGCTTGGTTGAAGTGTTTTTGGGGCTTGCTGTGGGGTTGTGACATGGGTGGCAGCTCTTGGGGACACTGAGAGCCACTCGCTGTCCTCAGGGAGCCACCTCAGAACAGGAAAAACCTCGATTTCCGACAAAATCCCAGGTTTTGGTGGCTTTTCTGCCACTTCCCTCTTCTCTTTTGTGGTCCCTGTGGTGTCTCCCATCTGATGTAGAGCCCATGGGGTGATGCAACCCCTTTCCTATGGATACTGGGATATTGGGGTTTTGGGATTTTTGGACATTGGGATATTGGGATATCAGGAATTTGGGATATTGGGACATTGAGATAATGGGAATTTGAGATACTGGGGCATTGGGATATTTGGATATTACATATTGGGATTTTGGGAATTTGGGATATTGGGACATTGGGATATCGGGATTTTGGGATATTTGGATATTGAGAATTTGGGATATTGGGACATTGAGATATTGGGAATTCGGGATGTTAGGGCATTGGGATATCGGGATATTCGGATATTGGGATATCAGAAATTTGGGATATTGGGACATTGGGATATTGGGATTTGGGGATATTTGGACATTGTGATTTTGGGATATTGGGATATCGTGAATTTGGGATATTGGGACATTGAGATATTGGGATTTTGGGAATTTGGCATATTGGGACATTGGGATATTTGGATATTAGGATATTTGGACATTGAGATATTGGGATTTTGGGAATTTGGCATATTGGGACATTGGGATATTTGGATATTGGGATATTTGGACATTGTGGTTTTGGGATATTGGGATATTGGGATCATTCCCTACCTGCCAGCAGGGCGGGGAGCGATGCTCCAGCCCCCACGTCCTGCCCAGGGGAGGAAGCAGCTGTTTCCCACTGCTGAGGGGTATTTTTAACCCAAAATCGACAGGAGGGTTTGTCTGGGCTGAAAGCGAAGAACCACCTGGGCTCCTTTTCCTGCCCGGCCCCGCAGCTGCGGCTTTCCCCTGCTCCACACCCCGAGCTCAACTTCTCACCCAGGAATTCCTGCCCAAACCACGCTGACACCGCATTCTCCCTAAAAATCCCCACCTTGGGGTAGCACCGCTCCCTTGTCCCTCCCCATGGGGCGCCTCGCTCCTTCCCAAGCCCTCCTAACGCCGATATTTTTGTTTCCCACGGTTGTTTTCGCAGCTCCAGTTGCTGTGGTATCCAGGGAGCCCTCCTCCTCCTCCTCCTCCTCCTCCTCCTCCTCCCGCTGCAGGAGCTGCACGCCGGGCGTTGCTAAGGTCGCCTCCGCGGTAACATGCACATCCTGTTTACACCTTCATCCCGACAAGTTGGGCTCGGATAGAGCCGCCCGTTCCCCCCGGGAAGCCCCCAGGGAAGGAGCCACACGGAGCATCCCCCCACCGGAGCCGCCGGAGCCGCCGGAGCCGCGAGCCAGGCCGCCCCAGGAGCGCCGCGCCGGTGGCGCCGGAGCCGCGACAAGATGACCAACAACGTGGCCGACCACCACCCCGGGAACTCGGTGGCCGAGGGCAACCATGAGGGGGACTTTGGGTGCTCCTTGGTGGAGCTCAGGAACCTCATGGAGCTGAGGAGCGCCGAGGCCGTGGCCCGGCTCAACGACTCCTATGGCGGCGTCCAGAACGTCTGCAAGAGGTTGAAGACGTCGCCGGTCGAAGGTGAGTGGCCCTGCCGTGGGCTGGGGTTGTCACCTCTGGGGTTGTCACCTCCAGGATGGAGACACATGGTGGTGATGTCCGAGGGTGGTGGCTCCCACGGTCTGGGGTTGTCACCTTTGGGATTGTCACCTCCAGGATGGAGCCATGTGAAGGTGACACTCAAGGGTGGTGGCTCGCAGGGTCTGGGGTTGTCACCTTTGGGATTGTCAGCTCCAGGATGGAGCCTTGTGAAGGTGACACCTGAGGATGGTGGCTCGCAGGGTCTGGGGTTGTCACCTCTGGTGTTGTCAGCTCCAGGATGGAGACACATGGAGGTGATGTCCAAGGGTGGTGGCTGCCAAGGTCTGGGGTTGTCACCTCTAGGATCGTCAGTTCTGGGGTTGTCACCTCCAGGATGGAGCCGCGAGAAGGTGACACCCGAGGGTGGTGACTCCCAAGGTCTGGGATTATCACCTCTGGGGTTGTCACCTCCAGGATGGAGCCATGAGAAGGTGACACTCAAGGGTGGTGGCTTCCATGGTTTGGGGTTGTCACCTCCAGGATGGAGCCAGATGATGGCATCCAAGGGTGGTGACTGCCATGGTCTGGGGTTGTCAGCTCCAGGATAGAGCCATATGAAGGTGACACTTGAGGGTGGTGGCTGCCATGGTCTGGGGTTGTCATCTCTGGAATGGAGCCATGTGAAGGTGATGTCCAAGGGTGGTGGCTCTGGTGGCTGTCGTGTGGCCTCGAGGTGCTATTTTTGGGATGGAACCACACGAATGTGACGCCCGATGGTGTCTCCAGTGACTGTCCCATGGTCTGGGTTGTCACCTCTGGGATGGTCAGAGATGTGGGATGGGGTGAGGAGCTGCTCCCCACACCCAGCTGCCTCTCCAGCTGTTCCCTGTTCAGTCCTTCACAGAGTTCCGGGGTGGGAGGGGAGGTGTAAAGGTTGGAGGGCGCTGGCGAGGTGGCCGGGCGCTACCTGCAGCTGTTGGTGGCACTTTGAGTGAGGGACAGGGACAGTGCGTCCCCAGAGGGGGTGGGGGATGCACCCAGGGGTGGGGAGGTGGGCCCAGGTCCCTCCTGGTCTGAGGATGCTCCAAGGAAAACCTGGGCAGCACAGCTGGGGTGGTGGCAGTGACACCTGGGGTGGTGGCAGTGACACCTGGGGTGGTGGCAGTGACGCCTGGGGTCACCTCTGGGAGGACCTCAGGGTGGCACCTCTGCCCTCACGGGCTGGGATGGTTTTTGGGGTCCCCTTAGCAGCGAGGCTGGGGGTGCAGGGGGCACAGAGCCCCTGATTCCAGCTCCGAGGGGTTTCCTGGAGCTGTGGGATGGGAACTGAGTCCTAAAGGTGTGGGATGGGGACTTGGCTGTGACAATCTGGGATGGGGACTGAGCCCTGGAGCTGTGGGATGGGGGCTCAGCCCTAAAGCTGTGGGATGGAGAACTCAGCTGTGATAATCTGTGGGGTGGGAGCTGAGCCCTAAAGGTGTAGGATGGGGACTCAGCTGTGGCAATATGGGATGGGGGACACAGCCGTAAAGCTGTGGGATGGGGAATCAGCCCTGGAGCTGTGGGATGGGGACTGGGATAGCATCCTCTGGAGCTGTGGGATGGGGACACAGCCCTAAAGCTGTGGGATGGGGACTTGGCTGTGATAATCCGGGATGGGGACTGAGCCCTGTAGCTGTGGGATGGGGACTGAGCCCTGGAGCTGTGGGATGGGGACTCAGCTGTGACAATCTGTGGGGTGGGGACTGAGCCCTGTAGCTGTGGGATGGGAGCTCAGCCCTAAAGCTGTGGGATGGGGACTTGGCTGTGGCAATATGGGATGGGGGACACAGCCATAAAGCTGTGGGATGGGGAATCAGCCCTGGAGCTGTGGGATGGGGACTGGGATAGCATCCTCTGGAGCTGTGGGATGGGGACACAGCCCTAAAGCTGTAATAATCTGGGATGGGGACTCAGCTGTGACAATCTGTGGGGTGGGGACTGAGCCCTGTAGCTGTGGGATGGGGACTTGGCTGTGATAATCCGGGATGGGGACTCAGCTGTGACAATCTGTAGGGTGGGGACTGAGCCCTGTAGCTGTGGGGTGGGGACTCAGCTGTGACAATCTGTGGGGTGGGGACTGAGCCCTGTAGCTGTGGGATGGGGACTCAGCTCTGACAATCTGTGGGATATTTTTAGTGCTGCAAGTGGGGGGTTTGCAGCTTTCCAGCTGCGAGCGGGACCGGGAAGGAGAGACAATATCGGGATGTGGTTTGAGAAGGGGGGGAAATCCCGGTGGAAATACGAAGCTCAGGTCACAAACAATGTGCTGGGCCTTGCCAAAGTGGGATCACGCTGCTTTGGGGCGGGAGGAGAGGCAGGAGGAGAACCCAAAAGGCTCTTCTAGGGGTGGTGAAGGGTTCGGTGCCACCCTGGCACGTCCCTGCCATGGATCTGAGCTGTCCCAAATCCCGCTGAGCCCAGAGAGCAAAGAAAGGTTCTCTCCTCCAAATCCTCAGGGATTTTTGGCAAGAGCAAAACCCCGAGGGAACCTGTGGCACCTCTGTCTGACCCCACTGAGTGGTGTCAGCTTGGTGTCCCCGTTCCCAGATGTTTGTCCTCATCCCCATTCTTGTTGTCCCTCTCCTGGTCACCCTGCTGGGGTGGCACAGGGCCTTGTCACCAGCGTGTGACCAGCAGGGCCAGCCCAGGGTGTCCTGCCAGCACCCCTGTCCTGCTGTAGGATCCTTTAGGATCCTGTTCTGGAGTGCTTTGATCCCACCTGGATCCCACCTGAGCCTCGGTGCCACCCTGTGCTGCAGGACTGGCTGTCCCCTCTCCAGCCTGGCACTGTCCTCGTGGGCAAACACTGACCACGGTCCCCAGTGAGGGGTCCCCGGTGTCACTTTGGGGTCTGCTGGTTCTGGCAGCTCCAGCAGACCCCAGACCCTCAGGGCTGCTCCAGAAGCGGCTTTGGGGTGGCTTTGGGGTGCCACGGGTGTCCCCTGGGTGCCCGGTGCCAGCACAGCCACCCTGACTCACCCAGGGCTGCCACCCCCAGCCCCATTCCTGCGGGGGTCTCCTCGTGCCACCCCACAGCCGCTGTCCCCAGGCAGAGCAGGGGCTGGTGACAGCTCCCTGCTGTCACCTGTGGCCTCCACCCAAAATTTCTGCCCCGTTTCTGTGCCAATCCTGACCCCAGAGTGGCCCCATGGGTGCCACCTGCCCAGGGCTGCTGCTTTTTGTCACCTTCTAATCGGTCCCTCACACCCTGCAGTGGCATTTGGGTGGCACGTGCTCTTTGTCACCCTCCCTGTGCCAGCACAGAGCCACCAAACCCCCCCAATCCCCCAGGAGGGCCCTGGGATCATTCCCATGGGTGGGATCTGCTTTGGGATCCGCGTCCTGTGGGACCATCCCGTGTCCCTGTGTGTCCCCACGTGTGTCCCCACGTGTGTCCCCACAGCTCCGTGGCCATGAGCCGCATTTTCCACCCTCTGCTCGGGACTGGAGGCCGGGACATGCCGGGATCCTGCTCAGCCTCCTCGTCACGGCTGGGTGGGGACAGCCCGGCGTCTGTGCCAGCTGCCAGCTGCCAGCTGTCCCCTCCCTGCAGCTGGGCTGGGGCGGGAGGGGACCGGTCCTGCTTCGGGGACACGGGGCAGGCACAGGGGGTGTCCCCCCAAAGTGACACGGGGCTGGCACGGGGGTGTCCCCAAAGTGACACGGAGCTGGGAGGAGGGTGTCCCCCAGAGTGACACAGGGCTGGCAGGGAAGTGTCCCCCACAGTGACATGGGGCTGGCAGGGAGATATCCCCAGAGTGACATGGGGCTGGCAAGGAGGTGTCCCCAGAGTGACACAGAGCTGGCAGGGAGGTGTCCCCAAAGTGACACGGGGCTGGCAGGGAGTGTCCCCCCAGAGTGACACAGAGCTGGCAGGGGGGTGTCCCCAGAGTGACACGGGGCTGGCAGGAGTGTGTCCCCACAGTGACACGGGGCTGGCAGAAGGGTGTCCCCCAGAGTGACACAGGGCTGGCAGGGGGGTCTCCCCCCAAAGTGACACAGAGCTGGCAGGGAGGTGTCCTACAGAGTGACACAGGGCTGGCAGGGAGTGTCCCCCAGAGTGACACAGAGCTGTCCCCATGGTGGCACAAGGTAGGCAGGGAGGTCTCCCCTCAATGTGACACAGAGCTGGCAGGGAGGTGTCCTACAGAGTGACATGGGGCTGGCAGGGAGTGTCCCCCCCAAAGTGACACAGAGCTGGCAGGGGGGTGTCCTACAGAGTAACACAGGGCTGGCAGGGAGGTGTCCCCAGGGTGACACAGGGCTGGCACGGGGGTGTCCCCAAAGTGACACGGGGCTGGCATGGGGGTGTCCCCCAGAATGACATGGGGCTGGCAGGAGAGTGTCCCCAAAGTGACACGGCGCTGGCAGGAAGGTGTCCCCCAGAGTGACATGGGGCTGGCAGGGAGGTGTCCCCCCAAAGTGACACAGAGCTGGCAGGGGAGTGTCCCCCAAAGTGACACAGAGCTGGCAGTGAGTGTCCCCCAGAGTGACACAGAGCTGGCAGTGAGTGTCCCCCAGAGTGACACAGAGCTGGCAGGGGGGTGTCCCCTGGTGTGACACAGAGCTGGCAGGGGAGTGTCCCATACAGTGACACAGGGCTGGCAGGGGGCTGTCCCCTGGAATGACACAGAGCTGTCCCCCGAGTGCGAGGCCGGGTCCCCTGTCACTGCCAGGCTGCTCCAGGCACCACCGGGATGTGCCCAGGGCCACCAGGGCCATTATCCCCGGAGCATCCCGGGCCCTGGCAGCGCCCGGGGACATCTTAAGGTGGAGAAGGACGGAATGGGGGGGTCCCTTAAGGCGGTGCTGGGCAGGGGGGGCTGCTCTGTCTGGGGACACAGCCGAGTCACACTGCCACTGTCACCATCATTGCCACCATGGTGTCCTGGTACCCCCTCTGCCCTTGTGGCTTTATGGGGGTGTCTGTGTCCCACTGCCACTGTCACCCCTGGCTGGTGGGACCCCATGAGCATTTATGGCTTTATTAGGGGTGGCCCTGTCACTTTGTCACCCACTGCTCCATCCCGAAACCCCGCTGGCATTTATGGCTGTATTAGAGGTGCCACCTTGCCACGGCCGCCCGGCACTGCCGCAGGGCTCAGGAGGGGCTCAGGCCCCCTTTCATTCGCCGTTTTTCCCCATTTTTCCCCATTTTCCCCCATTTTTCCCCATCCCAGCTCCGTGTCCTGCTCCCTCCCTGTCTCCCCAGCCCAAATCCCAGCTCGGTCCAGTGTCCCCAGGGCTTGGGGACATTCCTGTGGCTCCAGGGGCTGGCACGGGCAGGGCTCAGGTGGCCACGGGTGCTGCCGGGGCCAGATTTGCCCAAATTTGCCCAGAATTGCCCAGATTTACCCAGATTTACCCAGATTTGCCCAGATTTACCCAGATTTACCCAGTTTTCCCCAGATTTACCCAGTTTTCCCCAGATTTACCCAGAATTGCCCAGATTTGCCCAGATTTGCCCAGTTTTACCCAGATTTGCCCAGATTTGCCCAGATTTGCCCAGATTTGCCAGATTTATGGCACATTTGATGTAAAAAATGCCACCGCTGCCAGCTGGCAGCACCTGGGCACTCGCCAGGCTGCAGCCTGATTTATTATTTGTTTGTTTGTTTATATTTTGCTTTATTTTGTTATTTATTTGTTCATTGTTTGGTTTATTTATAGTTTGTTTGATTGATTTGTTTATATTTTTATATATTTCTATTTTATCTGCGAATGTATTATTTATTTATTTAATTAATTCCTTTGTTTATAATTTATTTATGCATGTTTTAGCTATTTATACATTATTTATGGTTTATATTTTATATATGATTTCTTTATATTTTATTTGTTTATGCTTTATACTTTGTTTAATTTATTTGTTTATACTTAATTTATTTATATTTTAATTTTATGCAGTTTGTTTATTTATACTTTATTTATATTTAAATTTTAAAAATTTTAGTTACTTGTTTATATTTTATTTATATTTTAACTCTTATTTACTTTATTTACTTGTTTATATGCTTATTTATAATTTATTCTTTTATATTTTATTTGTTTATACTTTATTCATATTTACTTTTATTTGTTTATACTTTATTTATATGTGTATTTTTAATTTAGTTTCTTTATAGTTATCTATCATTTATTTTCATTTAGTTTATTTGTTTGTACTTTATTTTTGCTTATATTTTTATTTATTTTATTTATAGTTATCAATAATTTTATTTCGTTTATTTGTTTATACGTTATATGTTTATATTTTACTTAGTTGATTTTTAGTTATCAATAATTTTATTTGTTTTTATTTGTTTATATTTTATTTATATGTATTTATTTATTTAATTAATTTATTTATATTTCTCCATAATTTATTTCTATTTACTTTATTTATTTGCTCATACTTTATTGGTATATTTATATTTTTATTTAGTTTATCTATAGTTATCTAAAATTTATTTTATTTAGTTTATTTGTTTGTTTATACTTTATTTATTATTTATATTATATTATATTATAGTATAGTATAGTGTATTATAGTATATTTATATTATATTATAATATAGTATAGTATAGTATAGTGTATTATAGTATATTTATATTATATTATATTATAATATATTATAATATATTATATTATATTATATTATATTATATTATATTATATTATATTATATTATATTATATTATATTATATTATATTATATTATATTATTTATTTTAAATATATTTAAAAAATATATATTTATATATTTATATATATAATACATATAATATTATAATATATTATATTATATGTATTATATATATAAATATATAAAATGTATACAAACATAAATTTATATTTATTTATATTTACATATAAATATAAATATAAATATATTATATTATATAATATTTATATAATATTTTATTTATTTATTTATATATTTATTTATTTATTTATTTATTTATTTATTTATTTATTCATTCATTCATTTATTTATTCATTTATTTATTTATTTATTTATTTATTTGCCCCTTGGCTCCCCACTGCCAGCAGCACCCGGGCCGGGCCGGGAGCTGCTCCAGGATGAATTGCAGAGGGACGAGGGTGGGCTTTGCCCTCATCCCTGCCTTCCCACCCTGCAGGCCTGTCCGGGAACCCCACGGACCTGGAGAAGCGGCGCCAGGTCTTCGGCCAGAACTTCATCCCCCCGAAGAAGGCCAAGACGTTCCTGCAGCTGGTGTGGGAGGCGCTGCAGGACGTGACGCTCATCATCCTGGAGATCGCCGCCATCATCTCCCTGGGGCTCTCCTTCTACCACCCCCCGGGCGGGGACAACGAGCGTGAGTCCGGGATGGGCTCCGGGATCGGCGCCTTTCCCGGGGAACGGGGGTTTGGGATGGCTGCTCTGGGATCGGCCCCTTCTCCGGGGAACGGGGGTTTGGGATGGGCGCTCCAGGATCAGCCCCTTCCCTGGCGGGACAGGGATTGGGATGGGCGCTCCAGGATCGGCCCTTTCCCCGGGAACGGGGGTTTGGGATGGGCGCTCCAGGATCAGCCCCTTCCCTGAGGGGATATCCTGGGATCGGCCCCTTCCCCGGGGAATGGGGGTTTGGGATGGAGGTGTTGGGATGTGCCCCATTCCCTGGAGGAGCAGGGATCTGGGATGGGCTCCGGGATCGGCAGTGTGTGGGGTTATCCCAGGCAGTGTGTGGGGTTATCCCACAGGAATTCTCTTGGGCAGTATTTATGATTATCCCGGGCAGTATTTGGGGTTATCCCATGCAGTGATTGGGGATATGCCAGGCAGTTCATGGAGTTATCCCAGGAATGTGTGGGGTTATCCCACGGGAATTCTGTCGGGCAGTATTTATGGTTATCCCGGGCAGTATTTGGGGTTATCCCAGGCAGTGACTGGGGATATCCCAGGCAGTTCGTGGGGTTATCCCGGGAATATGTGGTGTTATCCCATGGGAATTCTCTCGGGCAGTGTGTGGGGTTATCCCGGGCAGTGTGTGGGGTTATCCCACAGGAATTCTCTCGGGCAGTATTTGGGTTTATCCCGGGCAGTGTGTGGGGTTATCCCGGGAATGTGTGGGGTTATCCCATGGGAACTCTCCCGGGCAGTGTGTGGGGTTATCCCAGGCAGTTTGTGGGATTTATCCTGGGAATGTGTGGGGTTATCCCACGGGAATTCTCCCGGGCAGTGTGTGGGGTTATCCCGGGCAGTTCATGGGGTTATCCCGGGAATGTGTGGGTTTATCCCACGGGAACTCTCCCGGGCAGTGTGCGGGCAGTCCACGGGCGGCGTGGAGGACGAGGGCGAGTCGCAGGCGGGCTGGATCGAGGGCGCTGCCATCCTCTTCTCCGTCATCATCGTGGTGCTGGTGACGGCCTTCAACGACTGGAGCAAGGAGAAGCAGTTCCGGGGCCTCCAGAGCCGCATCGAGCAGGAGCAGAAGTTCACGGTGATCCGCAAGGGCCAGGTGATCCAGATCCCCGTGGCCGAGATCGTGGTGGGGGACATCGCCCAGATCAAGTACGGTGAGTGGGGCTGGGGCTGTCCTTCCCCAGGATCCTCCTCTGATGCAGCTGTGGTGGGATGATGATGATGGGCACAGCCTGTCCTGGGTCCCGGCCATGGGCAAGCTTAGCGAGCAGCTCTTGAAGGAGCTCTGCTGGATCAGAATTAGTTTATTTTATCAGTTTGTATTAGTTTATTTTCTCAACCTTGTCCCTGCTGAGGATATTTCCTTAGCCAGATGTTGAGGAATATTTCCTTGGCGAGGAGATGTTGGGGAGTGTTTCCTTATCCAGGAGGTTTTAGGGAACATTTCTTTATCTGGGAGGTTTTGGGGAACATTTCTTTATGCAGGAGGTTTTAGGGAACATTTCTTTATCCAGGAGATTTTGGGGAACATTTCCTCATCCAGGAGGTTTTGGGGAACATTTTATGCAGGAGGTTTTAGGGAACATTTCTTTATCCAGGAGGTTTTGGGGAACATTTCTTTATCCAGGAGGTTTTGGGGAACATTTCTTTATGCAGGAGGTTTTGGGGAACATTTCTTTATGCAGGAGGTTTTGGGGAACATTTCTTTATGCAGGAGGTTTTGGGGAACATTTCTTTATGCAGGAGGTTTTGGGGAACATTTCCTCATCCAGGAGGTTTTGGGGAACATTTTATGCAGGAGGTTTTAGGGAACATTTCTTTATCCAGGAGGTTTTGGGGAACATTTCTTTATGCAGGAGGTTTTGGGGAACATTTCCTCATCCAGGAGGTTTTGGGGAACATTTCCTCATCCAGGTGATGCTGCTGGATATTTCCTTACCCAGGAGATGCTGGGGAATATTTGCTCATCCAGGAGATGCTGGGGAATATTTCCTTACCCAGGAGTTGTTGGGGAATATTTCCTTGGCCTGGAGGTCCTGGTGGATGTTTCCTTATGCAGGAGCTGCAGCCCTTGGGATCCATCAGGCCCTGCTCCTCGTTTCCCAGGGGGAATATTCCTCCCATTCAGGAAGGAGATTGATCCAGCACCGTGTTTGTTTTCCCAAGGGCCCGATTCCATACTTGGCAGGTGGATAGGGTGGATTTTGGATGCATCAGGAGCTCTGGGACGGATTTATTAAAACCAGATGGGGAAGCACCGAGCAAAATCCTCCCCAGGATTCTGCAGCGAGGATTTGGGAGCTCTTGGATTTCACTGGATTGCACCTGTCCCTTACAAACCTCACCTGCTGCTTCTCCTCCCTCTGGAGCTGGAGTTTTGGATCCTTATGGAGCATCCCTGTGGGATGGGGCAGTCGGGGCTGAGCCCAGGCTGGGCTGATCCCTGGTTTTTCCTCCTCTCCCAGGTGATCTCCTGCCAGCAGACGGGATCCTGATCCAGGGCAATGACCTGAAGATAGATGAGAGCTCGCTGACAGGGGAGTCAGACCAGGTGAAGAAATCCATGGATAAAGACCCCATGCTGCTGTCAGGTGAGGCTTCAGGGCTGGAATCGGGGTGGGTCCTGCCCTCGAGGAGGTGTCCAAGGCCAGGCTGGCTGGGGCTTGGAGCAGTCTGGGCTGGGGGAGGTTGGCCCTGTCCGTGGCAGGGGGTGGAGCAGGATGGGGTGGAAGGTTCTTGTGAGCCAAAGCAGTCTGGGGTTGTGTGGGATGGGAGCTGGGGGTCTCACCTGTGTGCCCATGGCATTGCTGCCCTGCCAGGTACCCACGTGATGGAGGGCTCGGGCAGGATGGTGGTGACTGCCGTGGGCATCAACTCCCAGACGGGGATCATCTTCACCCTCTTGGGAGCAGGAGAAGGGGACGAGGAGAAGAAAGTGAAGAAAGGTAAGGAAATGTCCTGAACCTGCCTTTTCCCTCCTTTTCCCTTTCCTGGGAAGCATCCGCAGGCTCCTTCCACATCGGGGTCAGCTCCCCCGGCCCAGACAGGAACAGGGAGAGGTTGGGGGTCCCTCCCTGTCCCCTCCACCTGGTCCAGGTGCTCCCAGACCTCTGTGGGACCCTTCTCCATCCTGGAGCTGTGAGGTGGGGGAGTCAAGGATCCCCCGTGGTGCTCATTGCCCACCCTGTGGTGGTGGGAAGGTGAGTCCTGGGTGCCCACAGGGTGTTTTTAGCCCACCCAAACCCTGCAGGACTTGGCTGAGGATCTCCTGAGCATTCCCTGAGCTTCCAAGGGGAAAGGAGGGGATGGCAGGAGGCAGAGGACAGCAGCCAGGCCGAGGTGTTCCCATCGTGCTGGGGCTGGAGCGCTCTCCTGTCTCAGCTTTCACATCCAGCTGTTTATTCCCTGCTGGGCAAGCTCCCCGTGTCCCTGATGCCCTGCTCAGCAGGTTTGGCCTCACTGGGATCAGGCACTGGCAGCAGCATCAGGCTGGCACTGCCAGCTGCTCCGGCATCCCCGTGCCAGGGAGCCCTTCCCAGGAGGGGATGCCGGGCGGGAGAGGCTCCCGGGCTGTGCTGGCTGCCAGCTCCCAGCTGGATCCTGCATTTCCCAGCTGGATCCTGCATTTCCCAGCTCCCAGCTGGATCCTGCATTTCCCAGCTGGATCCTGCCTTCCCCAGCTGGATCCTGCCTTCCCCAGCTGGATCCTGCATTTCCCAGCTCCCAGCTGGATCCTGCCTTTCCCAGCTGGATCCTGCCTTCCCCAGCTGGATCCTGCCTTCCCCAGCTGGATCCTGCCTTTCCCAGCTGGATCCTGCCTTCCACAGCTTGAATCCTGCATTTCCCAGCTCCCAGCTGGATCCTGCCTTCCCCAGCTGAATCCTGCCTTTCCCAACTGGATCCCGCCTTTCCCAGCTCCCACCTGATCCTGCCTCCCCATTTCTGGGTGTGGATCCTGCCTTTCCCAGCTCCCAGCTGGATCCTGCCTTCCCCAGCTCCCAGTTCCAGATGTGGATCCTGCCTTCCCCATCTCCCAGCTGGATCCTGCCTTTCCCAGCTCCCATCTCTGGGTGTGGATCCTGCCTTCCCCATCTCTGGGTGTGGATCCTGCCTTCCCCAGCTCCAGGATCACCAGGATTTGGGAGCTTTGGAGCTCCTGGGTTCAGCTGCCACCGTGGAGATGGCAGGACAAGATGCCCTGGGAATGGCACTGGGAATGGCACTGCCCTGGGAGCCACCCAGTGCTTGGAGCTTTCCCAGCCTTCAAGCTCAATGGATTTGGGAGCAGAGCAGGCTGCGGGGTGCCACCAGTTTGTCCCCACTGGGGCTGTGGGTGACATCAAACCCTTGTCACCTGAAGCTGAGGTTGAGGTGCAGCAGCCATGGGCACCCCCATGTGCCACCTGGACAGATTTTGGGGGGGTCAGACCTCCCTGCTCTGGGTCTGCTGCTGCCCATGGTGGGGGACAAGTCTGTGCTTCCCATCTGGATCCTGATGGCAGCGGGAGGGAGGTTCCTGGGGCTGCAGGAGGGTTTCTTCTCCTGAAAATCTGCTCCATGGATCTGATGGCAGCAGGAAGGAGAGACCTGGACCTGCACAGGAGGGTTTCCTCTCCTGAAAATCTGCTCCGTGGTTTCTCCTCCTGAAAACCTGAGGCACCTCCAGCACCCTCGATGCACTCTGCGGGTTTTGGGGGTGATTCACAGGTGGGAAAAATCAGAATCCTTGTCAATGGGGTGAGCAGGGAGCTCTGGAGCCTCGAGCAGTGTGGACCAAGGCGAGGGTGACCACAGGAGTGACCCCTCGGAGCATCCCAGGATGGGGAATTCGGCTCCGTGTGCTCAGCCCTCCCCCCTTTCTCTCTTTGAACAGGTAAAAAAAGCGGAGCCCCCGAAAACCGCAACAAAGGTAACGCCAGCCTCTCCATCCTTTGAACCAGCACCACACTAACTACCGAGCATTCCTCCTTCCTTCCTCTTCCTTCCTTCTCCTCATCAGTCTGTGCTCTTTGCTGCTCCGGCGGGACTCTCGCCTCGTTTCTCCGGGACAGGGTGCAAGGGTCCCCTGGCACGGCGTCCTGGTGTCCCCAAAACTGTCCCCAAAACTGTCCCCAAAACCCCAGCACGGGCTGCTGGGGCCGTGGTGGGACTGCCCAGAAACAGAATGAAAGGAATAAAAAGCAGTTTTGTTTATTGAAGGGCCTCCAGGTACATTTAGGCAGGTGAAACCCACCCAAAAATGGACCACGGGTTTCACGCTTTTGTAAGTTTGGGTTGTTTGCATATTGGGGGTTAATCTTCCAATTAAAGCTTCAGGTAATGAAGTCGTTTAACCCAAGTTTGCTCCTCCCCAGCTCACTTTTGTTCCCATCTCTCTGGCTTGAGGCAGTGAGGTGTCCTTGATTCCCAGGCCTGGAGAGGAATTGTTTTGGAAAACTGGGAAAACAGCAGCTGACACTCTATGGAGTTTGGAGTTATACACTAAAGAACTGCAGGCTTATAAATGTATGAAAAAGATAAAAGCTAAAATTTATTAATGCTAAAATTTATAAATCTATAAAATGTACAAATTTATAAAAGCTAAAAATTTATAAATTTCCATAAAATTTACGGGAAAAAAAGCTAGAATTTATAAATGTATGGAAAAGATAAAATCCTCAGGCATCACTGGGATGAACCTTCCTGTTGTTCCTGTGTGGGGAAAAGCCATTTTTCAGGGAGGACAAAGCTCTTCCAGCGGGACTTGTGGCACAGCATCCCTTTCTTGGGATAGCTCCATGAGTCCCAGCAGGGATTTGGTGGTTGAGGTGCCTTCCTGGCATTCCTGGGATGAGATTTCTCTGCCAGGGCCTGGCCCACGGGACGCTTGCACCCTGTCCTGCCATGGCCTCGACTCCGTGAGCGTCTCCTCGCCAGTGTTTCTCACCCTGTTCTTTGCAGGCTGTGGAGGAAGGCCCATTTCTGCACCTCTCTCTCCACCCCTCTCTCTGTTTCTGTTTCTGTTTCTGTTTCTCTCTCTCTCAGCAGTTTGGGTTGCCCTCAGCTCTGTCCGGGTGCTTTGTTGTGTCCGTGTCGGGTCTCTTGTCACCGTCGAGGTTCCCCTGTGGAGCTGCTCCGGGGTGGCCTCAGAAAGGGACAGATCCTGGGATGTTCTGCTGCTCCAGCAGCTCAGCACGAGCCTCTGGTGGGCTGCCCATCCCTCTCCAAAGCTTCCAGGCTTGGGTTTCCCCCAGGGCAGCGTTCCAGCTGGATGAGCCCAGTTGTAGGAGCGGGAAGCCGGGCTGGCTGGGGTCCCCGAGGCGTGGTGGATGGATGGCTCCAGGCTGGGATTGGAGGATTCCTGGCTCCCTGCTCTTCAGTCTCCATCCCAATCTCTAACCCTCCCCTCCATCTCACCCCCTCCGTCGCTTCCCTGGCCAGCGGTTCCTGCTGGGCACCTGCAGAGGTGGCACTGGGGGGAACTGGGGGCATCTCTGGGCTCATCCCAAAGCGCTCCCGGTCCTCTGCAGGCTTAGAGGCCGGAAGAGACCCCAAAATCTGGCCTAGAGGGTCTCTTGCAGAGGTGTGACGGGTGCCACAGTCACCTCTGAGGATCCCTTATCCGTGGGCAGGGGGTAGATGGCAGAAAACCACCCCGGAGAGAGGTGGCAGGGCCCTGGACACGGAGCTTCCATGTGCTCGGACGCGTGTGTGGTCGGGAGTGGTTCTTGTCCTGGATTTCTCTCTCTCTTTCTCTCTCTCTCTCTCTCTGCCACCACCATCCTCCTCAGTGGTGTCCTCCAGGCTGGCCTGGGTCTCTCCTGTTCACACGTGGTGTCTTGTTTTGCCCCCCGGGCTGTAGCTAAAACTCAGGATGGTGTGGCCTTAGAGATCCAGCCCCTGAAGAGCCAGGAGGGGGTGGAGAACGAGGAGAAGGAGAAGAAGAAGGTGAAGGTGCCCAAGAAGGAGAAGTCGGTGCTGCAGGGGAAGCTCACGCGCCTGGCGGTGCAGATCGGGAAGGCAGGTGAGTGACAGTGACACTGACAGTGACAGTGACCCCAGAGCTGGTGGGAGAGGGCTGTCCCTGTTCCCTGTGTCCCCAGGGCTGATGGGGAAGGGCTGATCTTGGTCTTTGACCCTGTCCTGTGTCCCCTCACCTCATCCTTGTCCCCATCCCCAGTGTCCCCAGAGCTGGTGGAGAAGGGCTGTCCCTGTCCCCAGTGTCCCCAGAGCTGGTGGAGAAGGGCTGTCTCTGTCCCCTGTGTCCCCAGGGCTGATGGGGAAGGGCTGAGCTTGGTCTTGACTCTGTCCTGTGTCCCCTCACCTCATCCTTGTCCCCATCCCTGGTGTCCCCAGGGCTGGTGAGGAAGGGCTGTCCCTGTCCCCTGTGTCCCCAGAGCAGGTGGGGAAGGGCTGACCCTGCCCCCTGTGTCCCCTCACCTCATTCTTGTCCCCATCCCTGGTGTCCCCAGGGCTGGTGAGGAAGGGCTGTCCCTGTCCCCTGTGTCCCCAGAGCAGGTGGGGAAGGGCTGTCCCTGTCCTGTGTCCCCTCACCTCATTCTTGTCCCCATCCCCAGTGTCCCCAGAGCTGGTGGGGAAGGGCTGACCGGGTCCCCAGTGTCCCCAGAGCTGGGGAAGGGCTGTCCCTGTCCTGTGTCCCCTTACCTTATCCTTGTCCCCATCCCCAGTGTCCCTAGAGCTGGTGGGAGAGGGCTGTGCCTGTCCCCTGTGTCCCCAGTGTCCCCAGGGCTGGTGGGGAAGGGCTGTCCCTGTCTCCTGTGTCCCCAGAGCTGGTGGGGAAGGGCTGACCCTGTCCCCAGAGCTGGTGGGGGAGGGCTGTCCCTGTCCCCTGTGTCCCCAGAGCTGGTGGGAGAGGTCTGTGCTTGTCCCCTGTGTCCCCAGAGCTGGTGGGGAAGGGCTGTCCCTGTCCTGTGTCCCCTCACCTCGTCCTTGTCCCCATCCCCAGTGTCCCCAGAGCTGGTGAGGGAGGGCTGTGCTTGTCCCCAGTGTCCCCAGAGCTGGTGGGGACGGGCTGTGCCTGTCCTGTGTCCCCTCACCTCATTCTTGTCCCCATCCCCAGTGTCCCCAGAGCTGGTGGGAGAGGTCTGTGCTTGTCCCCTGTGTCCCCTGTGTCCCCAGAGCTGGTGGGGAAGGGCTGTCCCTGTCCTGTGTCCCCTTACCTTGTCCTTGTCCCCATCCCCACTGTCCCCAAGGCTGGTGGAGAAGGGCTGACCCTGTCCTGTGTCCCCTCACCTTGTCCTTGTCCCCATCCCCAGTGTCCCCAGAGCTGGTGGGGAAGGGCTGTCCCTGTCCCCAGTGACCCAGAGATGGTGGGGAAGGTCTGACCCTGTCCCCTCTGTCCCTTCACCTCGTCCTCGTCCCCAGGGCTGATCATGTCGGCCATCACCGTCATCATCTTGGTGCTCTACTTCGTCATCGACACCTTCGGGGTGCAGGGCCGGCCCTGGCTGGCCGAGTGCACCCCCATCTACATCCAGTACTTCGTCAAGTTCTTCATCATCGGCGTCACCGTGCTGGTGGTGGCCGTGCCCGAGGGGCTCCCGCTGGCCGTCACCATCTCGCTGGCCTACTCCGTCAAGGTGAGGTTTGGGGGGGCTGAGCAGGGATGGGGGTGATCGGGATGAGCTCAGCCCTGACCTTCTGGGTGCTTGCAGAAAATGATGAAGGACAACAACCTGGTGAGGCACCTGGACGCCTGCGAGACCATGGGCAACGCCACGGCCATCTGCTCGGACAAGACGGGCACGCTGACCATGAACCGCATGACCGTGGTGCAGGCCTACGTGGGGGACACCCACTACCGCCAGATCCCCGACCCCGAGGCCATCCTGCCCAAAATCCTGGACCTCATCGTCCACGGCGTGGCCATCAACTCTGCCTACACCTCCAAAATCCTGGTGAGCTGCAGCACCGAAGCTCAGGGGTGTCCTGGTGCCTTGAGAGGGGATCTAGAACACAGGCTGGGCAGAGTTAATGGAATAAAGCAGGGATTTATTAAAATGTAGTGACATTTTGTCCCCTTGTCCCCTGTCCTACCTGCCCAAGGTGAACCTTCAAGGACACACCTTGGCCAGTACAAGAACCTGCCCATGGCTACACCCAAGGTGGACTCAGAGTCACGAATTTTGACACTTCTATAAGTTTTGGTCCATTTCCATTTTGGGGTTAATTGTCCAATTCCAGCTCCAGGTGATGCAGTCCCATGCTCCCAGGCTGCTCTCCCCCATTCCCTGTTGTTTAGGGGTGTTTGTTGTTTTTTGGGGCTGGAGCTGCAGCGGTGCCCTTGGTTGTGGGGCTGGAAAAGGATTGTTCTGTGTGCCTGAGCTGTGAGGAGAACTCGTGCAGTTCAGAGTTAGTTATTAATGCAGCACAGAGCCTGGAAAATACGAAACCTAAAAGTGTAAGGCATCGTTCCATCCATCACTCCATCCATTGTTCCATCCATCACTCCATCCTATTGGAAATGCGGGTGAACTGGTGGGCAGGAATGATGTCTGACTCAGTTCAGCAGGCTGAATGATTCCTTTATTACAACTATACTATAATACATTAATATACTATTTAAAGGAGATACAAAAACTACAAACCTACTTTTCTGACTGCCAAATCTAACTAATTCACAACTCAAAATCCTCTGTCGAGAGTCCAGCCCCAGGTGGGTTGGGTTGGATTGGATTGGATTGGATTGGATTGGATTGGATTGGATTGGATTGGATTGGATTGGATTGGATTGGGTTGGGTTGGATTGGATTGGTTTGGATTGGGTTGGGATGGGTTGGATTGGATTGGATTGGATTGGATTGGATTGGATTGGATTGGATTGGATGGGATGGGTTGGATTGGATTGGATTGGATTGGATTGGATTGGGTTGGCTTGGGTTGGATTGGGTTGGGTTGGGTTGGCTTGGGTTGGATTGGGTTGGGTTGGGTTGGATTGGATTGGATTGGATTGGGTTGGATTGGCCACCAGGCTCAAACAATCCTCACCAGAATCCAACCAAGCACTCACCGCAGGTAAACAATTCCCCAAACACATTCCACGTGGGAAAAACAAGGAGCAGAAATAGAAATTGTTTTCTCTTTCTTCTCTATGCAAAAAATCCCGAGAGATACAGAAATGTGCTTGCCACGCCTGGGTTGGGCATCGCTTCTCCATCCTTTTTTGCAGCCGCCGGAGAAGGAAGGGGGCCTGCCCCGCCAGGTGGGCAACAAGACCGAGTGTGCCCTGCTGGGCTTCGTGCTGGACCTGAAGCAGGACTACCAGGCCGTGCGCAACGAGGTGCCCGAGGAGAAGCTCTACAAGGTCTACACCTTCAACTCCGTGCGCAAGTCCATGAGCACCGTGCTGAGGAACAGCGGCGGCGGCTTCCGCATGTACAGCAAGGGCGCCTCCGAGATCATCCTGCGCAAGTAAACCCTGCTGCTGCCCCAGCCCCAGAGCTGGGGGGTCTGGCTGCCCCACGGGGCAAAGGGGGCGTGGGGGTGGGTGTTGGGAGGTGCCTGGTGGGGTTTTGGGGAAGCTGGAGGGAAAGGGGATGTCCAGATGGAAGCAGGAATGGTTTTTGGGTGGGTTTGGGGAGGTTGGAGGGGTCTGTGAGAAAGGGACAGCCCCCTTTTGTAGATGGGGTGTTAGGGATGTGCTGAGTGGTTTTTTGGTGGGTTTTGGGGAAGTTTGAGGGGACTGTGAGAAAGGGACAGCCCCTTTTTTTACATGAGGTGTTAGGGATGTGCTGAGTGTTTTTTTGGTGGGTTTTGGGGAAGTTTGAGGGGGCTGTTAGAAAGGGACAGCCCCCTTTTGTACATGAGGTGTTAGGGACGTGCTGAGTGGTTTTTTGGGAAATCTGGAGGGGGCTGTGAGAAAGGGACAGCCCCTTTTTGTACATGAGGTGTTAGGGATGTGCTGAGTGTTTTTTTTGGGGGGGTTTAGGAAAGTTGGAGAAAGGGTTAGCCTCCTTTTGTGGAATGTGCCAAGTGTTTTTTTTGTGGTGGGTTTGGGAAAGTTGGAGGGAGTTGTGGAAGGTGAACGTGCCCCTTTTGGAAATTGGGTGCCAGGAATGTGCTGAGTGGTTTTTGGGTGGATTTAGGAAATCTGGAGAGGGCTGTGAAAAAGGGACAGCCCCTTTTTTAGTGGCTGGGGTGCCAGGAATGTGCCACTGCCTCACCTCCCGCTGCCCTCAGGTGCACCAAGATCCTGGACAAGAACGGCGAGCCGCGGGTGTTCAAGGTGAAGGACAGGGACGAGATGGTGAAGAAGGTGATCGAGCCCATGGCCTGCCACGGGCTCAGGACCATCTGCCTGGCATTCCGGGATTTCCCTGCGGAGCCGGAGCCCGACTGGGACAGCGAGAACGAGATCCTGTCTGAGCTGACCTGCATCGCTGTGGTGGGGATCGAGGATCCCGTACGGCCCGAGGTACCAAATCCCACCTGGCCCCCTCATCCTGGGCTGTTCCCGGCCCTTTTCCTGCTGCTCAGGGCCATGATCCCCTCAGGAATTCCAGCAGCTCCCTGTGTCCATCCTGGATGTTCCCTTCAGGAGTTCCAGTAGTTCCCCTGTGCCCATCCTGGATGTTCCCTTCAGGAATTCCAGCAGCTCCCTGTGCCCATCCCTACTCTGCCACCAAAGAATTCCAGCAGCTCCATGTGCCCATCCTGGATGTTCCCCTCAGGAATTCCAGCAGCTCTTCTATGTCCATCCTGGATGTTCCCCCAAGGAATTCCAGTAGTTCCCATGTGCACATCCCTAATTTTTCCTCAGGAATTCCAGCAGCTCCCTGTGCCGATCCCTGATTTTCCCTCAGGAATTCCAGCAGCTCCCCTGTGCCCATCCTGGATGTTCCCTTCAGGAATTCCAGCAGTTCCCATGTGCCATCCCTGCTGTGCCCCCAAGGAATTCCAGCAGTTCCTCTGTGCCCATCTTGGATGTTCCCCTAAGGAATTCCAGCAGCTCCCAGTGCCCATCCCTGATTTTCCCTTAGGAATTCCAGCGGCTCCCTGATTTCCCCTCAGGAATTCCAGCAGCTCCCTGTGCCCATCCCTGATGTGCCCCCAGCTCCCTGCTGTGGGCATTTCTCTCCCAATTTTGGACAAAACAACGCCATGGCACCCAAAATTCCCAATCCTTGGGGTCTGTGCTGCTCCAGGCTGCGCCAAAGGCGGATGGAAACAGCCAGGAAGAATCCCTGGGCTCCGGGAGCTGGTTTTCCCTCTGAGCTGTGTGCTGGCTAATGCAATAATCCCCCTGTTCCTGCCTGTGGATGCAGTTTGGAGCTCTCCTGGTCCCTGATGAGATGTTCAGGGGTCTGGCAATCTGGGAATTGCATTAGGGATTCCCGGCTGCAGCAGCTCTGGAGGCTCCTGATTCGATTTGCTCCCAATTTCCTCTCTTCCCCCTCTGCTCCCTGATGGCTAAACCCAGCAGAGGGGTGGCAGAGGATGAAATTCCTGCTTTTATGGATGGCCTTGGCACCCAGGGAGGTGACAACAAGGTGACAACAAGGTGGCAGTGAGGTCCCATCCCCTTGGGATGGCAGATGCAGCTCTCCCACCCCTCCAGAGCCTTTTCCAGATTATTTTAGGGACGAGGAGGCAGGGATTTATTAAAATGTGGTGACAGCGACCCCAGAGCTGCTGGGGAAGGGCTGTCCCTGTCCCCTGTGTCCCCTCACCTTGGGTTCTGAAACACGGATGAAAAATCAAACCCACATTTCCAATAAGGATTTGCAGGGAATGGTTATGTTTATTTACAGCGCTGTGGATGCATGTCAGGACTCATTGCCCTTTAATGGATATGTGTACCTCTGAGAACTCCTGATCCTTTTTTGTTACTCTTATTAATTTCTGTATGCACAGAATTTCACAATAGATTAATGCATATTTATTCTGCTGATTTCACATTATACTTTCACCTAGTTATACTTAGTTTTTGTCAGAAAGTGCAGAAAGAACTCTTGGGTTACTTTGCCCTGTCTGTTTTAAGGTCTGAGGAGATTTTTTTTTATTTCTTATCTTTTAGTGTGGAAATTTGCATTATCTCTCCTTAGCTGGGGTAGCTTTGCCAGGCCTGCAATCACCAGATTGAACAGCACATTTAGCAAGCACCGAGTGGCACATTTCACCTAAATCCAAATGGATTTCTACCCCGTTAAACTCTCACCGTCTCAGTTCCCTGTGCCAACCCTGTCCGTGTCCCCAGGTGCCCGACGCCATCCTGAAGTGCCAGCGCGCGGGCATCACCGTCCGCATGGTGACAGGGGACAACATCAACACCGCCCGCGCCATCGCCACCAAGTGTGGCATCCTGCTGCCCGGGGAGGACTTCCTGTGCCTGGAGGGGAAGGAGTTCAACCGCCTCATCCGCAACGAGAAGGGAGAGGTGGGGCAGCTCGGCCAGTGCTGAGGGGTTTCCTGAATCCTGAGGGATTTCTAAATCCTGAGGGGTTTTCTAAATCCTGAGGGGTTTTTTAAATCCTGAGGGGTTTTCTAAATCCTGAGGGGTTTTCTAAATCCTGAGGGGTTTCCCGAATCCTGAGGGGTTTTCTAAATCCTGAGGGGTTTTCTAAATCCTGAGGGGTTTTCTAAATCCTGAGGGGTTTTCTAAATCCTGAGGGGTTTTCTAAATCCTGAGGGGTTTTCTGAATCCTGAGGGGTTTTCTAAATCCTGAGGGGTTTTCTAAATCCTGAGGGGTTTTCTAAATCCTGAGGAGTTTCCTGAATCCTGAGGGGTTTTCTAAATCATGAGGGGTTTTTTAAGTCCTGAGGGGTTTCCTGAATCCTGAGGGGTTTTTTTAAATCCTGAGGGGGTTTTTTAAATCCTGAGGAGTTTTTTAAATCCTGAGGGGGTTTTCCAAATCCTGAGGGGTTTTCTAAATCCTGAGAGGTTTCCCGAATCCTGAGGGGTTTCCCAAATTCTAATGGATTTTCTAAATCCTGAGGGGTTTTCCCGAATCCTGAGGGGTTTCCCAAATCCTGAAGGGTTTTCTAAATCTTGAGAGGTTTCCCACATCCTGTAAATCCTGAGGGGTTTCCCAAATATTGATAGGTTTCCCAAGCCCTGCTGGGTTTCCAAATTCAAATGGATTTCCCGAATCCTGCTGGGTTTCCCGAATCCTGAGGGGTTTTCTAAATCCTGAGGGGTTTCCCGAATCCTGCTGGGTTTCCCGAATTCTAATGGATTTTCTAAATCCCGCTGTGTTTCCCTCATTTCCTTGGATAAGGAAGCTGCTGGGGTGCTCGGCAGTGTTTGGGGTGAAGCCATTGCCCCATCCCAGTTGGGATTCGCTCTCAGGTGGGACAGAAGATTCCTGGGAGGGAATCACTTCCATTTTCCTGCTGCTGCAGGTGGAGCAGGAGCAGCTGGACAAGATCTGGCCCAAGCTGCGGGTGCTGGCGCGCTCCTCGCCCACGGACAAGCACACCCTGGTGAAAGGTGGGCACTTGGACTCTGTGGGTATTGGTGATTCCGAGATTGTAGAAAGTCTCTGTCTGTCAGCCCCGCTGCCAAAGCAGAAGCCATAATTGGTCTGTGCTGTTTCAAGGTTGTTTATTCTGTTTATCTCTAACATGTTCTGCTGCCCTGCCGCAGCTCTGTCCTGCAGGGCAGCGTGTGGGGCTCTGCCCTCAGTGGGATGGTACAAACATTAAATACCACAAACTACCTGTGCTGGATTTACAATAACGTGCCAATATCTGTCACCTACGTTGGACAGTGTGTCCCCAGCCTGAACCAACAGAAAAATGCCAACACCACAGTGAGACATGGAGGGCATGAAGAAGGAGAAAAAGGACAAGGCACACCCAATTTCCTCCATCTTGTGCCCTTTGGACCCCTCATCTAGAATCCTAAAATTTTACTTTTGCACCTGTGCCACACTTAATTATTACTCTTATCAAACACTTAAAGCTTGTAATTCATTTTGTAAGATTGAAAACTCTTTTCCATGGGCAGAGATCACAGACAGTGTCTCTGGGGGCTCTGTCCAGGGGGGTTCCTGACCCCTGCCAGGGTCCCAGGGCAGCCAGAGGGAAGCTCTGGGTTCCCACAGGCACTGCCCTCCCTGGCGATTTTCCAGCCTGATCCAGGCTGGGATCCTTCCCTTGGGGGTTTCATTTCTCCTTTCCGCCGCAGGAATCATCGACAGCACCGTGGGTGACCAGAGGCAGGTGGTGGCTGTGACGGGGGACGGCACCAACGACGGCCCAGCCCTGAAGAAAGCAGACGTTGGGTTTGCCATGGTAGGGCCAGCCTGGCGGGTTTTCCTTTGCTCCGTGGGTTCTCCCACTGGGATTGCTTCCAGACCGTGAAAACCCTTTTCCAAATCTGTGGGATGGACTAAAAACCCAAAAGGGAATTTTCTTAGGATGTTGGGTTTGGGTCTGAGCAAGGGGTTGGGATTCCTTGGAAGTCCCAGAGCAGGGACCTGCCCTGTCCTGGTGTCTCTCCTGGATCCAGGAGAGCCATGGGAGCCCCAGGATTTGGTTTTCCCTGCAGTTTTTCACCCCAATTCCAGGCAGGGTGCTGGGTCAGGCTTTGGGAATTTCTTTCTGGTGGAAAATTTTGGCTTGATGCTTTTTTATGCTGTCTGAAAGGAGCAGGGAAATAAACCTGTTGTTTTTCACAGGTTCCCTGTGGGTTAATTTTAGGGATGTGAGCAGGAGCTGGGTGGGGAGGCTGCACAGGGAGAGATTTTTGGGAAGCGTTTTTAGGAATGTGCTGGACATCCAAACGCAATTCCAGAAGCAGGGAAGGCTGTTCCTCTAAACCCCATGTGCTGCAACGGGCAGGGAGGTCCCCTTTGAGGTGGGATTGGGATCTGGGGAATCTCCTTTTGGGCACGGCCTGGAATTCCTGCCTGGAATTCCTGCCTGGAATTCCTGCGGGGCGAGCGCCTCGCTGTGCTGGCTCCTGGAAGCGCAGCCCAGCCCGCTGCCCTGGAGACGCTGCCGGGGATTTTGGGGGATTTTGGGGGATTTTTGGGGCCGTTCTCAGCCTGGTACCGGGGCAGAAACCTCCGGGCTGAGCTCTCGCTCCTTTGGGCTCCCAGCAGAGGTGCCCAGCCCGGGATGGAGCCAATCCCTGGCATGAGGAGGGAGCTGTTTTCCTGTCCGTTTTCCTGTCTGTTTTCCTGTCCATTTTCCTGTCCATTTTCCTGTCCGTTTTCCTGTTTCCCAGCTCTTTTCCAGCTGGTTTTCTGGCCATTTTCCAGCTGTTTCCTGGCATTTTCCCAGCTGTTTTCCAGGACATTTCTGTCTGTTTTCCTGTCTGTTTTCCTATCTGTTTTCCAGCATTTTCCCAGCAGTTTCCTGGCATTTTCCCTGTCTGTTTCCCTGTCTGTTTTCCTGTCTGTTTCCTATCACTTTTCCATCTGTTTCCTGGCAGTTTTCCTGTCAGTTTTCCATCTGTTTCCTGGCTGTTTTCCTGTCAGTTTTCCATTTGTTTCCTGGCTGTTTTCCTGTCAGTTTTCCATTTATTTCCCAGCTATTTTCCTGTCAGTTTTCCATCTGCTTCCTGGCATTTTCCCATCAGTTTTCCCATCAGTTTTCCCACCTGTTTCCCACCCGTTTCCCACCTTTTCTGCACCATGGCTCTGTCTGGGCCAGCTGGGCTCCCTCAGAGCCCGTCCTTGAAGGCTCTGGAGCTCTTTTGCTGCTGCCCAGCAGCATCGGCACCAGCTCCAGGGGCTTTTCCTGCCGGGAACGTCCCTGGCACCGTCCCTTTGTCCCCAAGGGCATCGCGGGCACGGACGTGGCCAAGGAGGCCTCGGACATCATCCTGACGGACGACAACTTCACCAGCATCGTCAAGGCCGTCATGTGGGGCCGCAACGTCTACGACAGCATCTCCAAGTTCCTGCAGTTCCAGCTGACCGTCAACGTGGTGGCCGTCATCGTGGCCTTCACCGGCGCCTGCATCACCCAGGTGAGCTCACCTGGGCAGGTGGGACATTGGAGGTCTCACCTGGGTGGGTGGGACATGGGAGTCTCAGGAGAAAAGCAGTAATATCTTGAGGGGTGTTTTAGGAAGTTGTGAAATACCCCAGACCAATTCTGGAGTTCTCCTCAGGAGGAGAGTGAAACAAAAAGGGAACCAAGGTTTATTTTGGTGGTGTGACTGTTCTCCCCCTCAGGACTCCTTTCTGAAGGCCGTGGTGCAAAGGAGAAATATTTGGGAATGTTTTTGGAAGGTGTTAAGTACCCAAGAGTGATTTTGGAGAGGTTTTCAGGAGGAGACCAAAACAAAGAGGGAACCAAGGTTTATTTTGGTGGTGTGACTGCTCTCCCCCTCAGGACTCCCTCCTGAAGGCCGAAATATTTGGGGATGTTTTCGGAAGGTGTTAAATACCCAAAAGTGATTTTGGAAAGGTTTTCAGAAGGAGAGAGAAACAAAGCAGGAACAAAGGTTTTTACTGGTTTTTGTTGACATCTTCTCGCAGTCTTTGCCTGCAGGACTCTCCTGTGAAGGCCGTGGAGCAAAGGAGAAATATTTGGGGATGTTTTCGGAAGGTGTTAAGTACCCAAGAGTGATTTTGGAGAGGTTTTCAGGAGGAGAGTGAAACAAAGAAGGAACAAAGGTTTATTTTGGTTGTGTTGATATGTTCTCCCCGCCTTGGGACTCTCCTGTGAAGGCCATGGAGAAAAGGAGAAATATTTGGGGATGTTTTCGGAAGGTGTTAAATACTCAAGAGTGATTTTTGGAGAGGTTTTTTGAAACCAAGAGGGGAAGGAAGGTTTATTTAGGCGATGTGGCTTCTCCCCTCAGGACTCCCCGCTGAAGGCCGTGCAGATGCTGTGGGTGAACCTGATCATGGACACGTTTGCCTCGCTGGCGCTGGCCACGGAGCCGCCGTCGGAGTCGCTGCTGCTGCGCAAACCCTACGGGCGCAACAAGCCGCTCATCTCCCGCACCATGATGAAAAACATCCTGGGCCACGCCGTCTACCAGCTCACCATCATCTTCACCCTGCTCTTCGCCGGTGAGAGCGAGCGCGGCGCCTCGTGGGAGGGTGGGGGGAAGGGGAGAGGTGAAGGAAAGGGAAAGGGAAAAAGGAAAAGTAAAGGGGAAGGGGAAAAAGGGAAAAGAGAAAAGGAAAGGGAAAAAAAGGAAAAGGAAAAAGAGAAAAGGAAAAGGGAAGGGAAAAAACTAAACGTAGAGGGGAAAAGGGAAAAAAGGGGAAAGGAAAGGGAAAGAGAAAAAAAGGAAATGGAAGGGGAAAATGGAAAAGTAAAGGGGAAAAGGAAAGGGAAAATGGAAAAGGAAAAGAGAGAAAAGGAAAAGGAAAGGGAAAGGAAAAAAGGAAAGGGAAGGGGGAAAAGGAAAGGGGAAAATGGAAAAGTAAAGGGGAAAAGGAAAGGGAAAATGGAAAAGGAAAAAGAGAAAAGGAAAAGAGAAAAAAGGAAAGGGAAAGTAAAAAAAGGAAAAAGTAAAGGGGAAAAGGGAAAAGGAAAGGGAAAGAGAAAAAAGGGAAAGGAAGGGGGGAAAAGGAAAAAGAGAAAAGGAAAAGGGAAGGGGGGAATAGGAAAAGGAAAAAGAAAAGGAAAAGGAAAGGGAAAAAATGAAAGGGAAGGGAAGAAGGGGAAAAGGAAAAAGAGAAAAGGAAAGAGAAAAAAGGAAAAAGAAAGGGAAGTGGGGAAAAGGAAAGGGAAAGGAGAAAAGGTAAGAGAAAAAGGAGAAGGAAAGGGGGAAGAGGAAAGGGGGAAAAGGAAAGGGGAAGGAGAAAAAGAAAGAGAAAGGGGGAGAAGGAAAGGGAAAAAAGGAGAAAGGGAAGAAGAGAAATCTTCCCTTCCCCAACCCCCCTCTTCTCCTGCTCAGGGGAGCAGTTTTTCGACATCGACAGCGGCCGGAACGCGCCCCTGCACTCCCCCCCCACGGAGCACTACACCATCGTCTTCAACACCTTCGTGATGATGCAGCTCTTCAACGAGATCAACGCCCGCAAGATCCACGGCGAGAGGAACGTCTTCGAGGGCGTCTACCGCAACCCCATCTTCTGCAGCGTGGTGCTGGGCACCTTCTTCGCCCAGGTGACCCCAGCATGGGGGGGTTTCCTTTGCTCCGTGGGTTATTCCACTGGGATGGCTTCCAGAGCATGGGAATGCTTTTCCAAATCTGGAGGATGGACTAAAAACCCGAAAAGGAATTTTTTAGGATGTTTGGTTTGGGTTTGAGTAAGGGGTTTGGTGTTGCTGTTGAGGTAGGGATGGGAATGAAGAGACTCCACCTTCAGAAGGCAAAATGAGCGTTTATTTAAAAGCACTTCTCTCTTTTATAGAGAACATCCTGAACATTAATTCCATCTGTCCTAGAGTAAAAAACATTTCACCTGGTTGGTGCACTGCACTTAGTGTGGTAGAACACATCTATAAACAATATGAATGGAAAACAAGATAATCAATTGTTTACATTCCTCACAGACTTTTTCCCAGGCTTTGCCTGGCAGAAATCTTTCTCTTTTTCTGTCTGACTGAACTGAGAATATCCACAACTCGAAATTCCTTGGAGGTCCCAGAGCAGGGACCTGCCCTCTCCTGGTGTCTCTCCTGGATCCAGGAGAGCCATGGGAGCCCCAGGATTTGGTTTTCCCTGCAGTTTTTCACCCCAATTCCAGGCACGGTGCTGGATCAGGCTTTGGGAATTTCTTTCTGGTGGAAAATTTTGGTTTGGTGCTTTTTTATGCTGTGTGAAGGGTTGCCAGGGCGTTGCTGTTGTATTAAGGTGAATAAAGTGACAGAGACTTCAAGTTCTCAGAAGGCAAAAAGCAAATTTATTAGAAACCACACATTCTTTTATTGACAATTCCGAGAAAGGTGGAGCTCATTAATCAACACCCCTTAATGAACACCCCCCACACCATTAGCTAATTAGGAACAACACCCTTCTTGTGCCTCCTACAAGTGAACACCGCCTTCAAAACACCAGCTGCAGGATGGTTTTAATTCTTTCTCTGAGCTTTCTCCAAACTTCCCAGAGCAAGGCCTGGGAAAGTTTATCTGACTTTTCCTCTGAGTAGATTTTCACACCAGGCAGGCTCTGTTCTGTGGAGCTCAGAGCTGGTGGAAGGTGTCCCTGTGCATGGATCTGGGTGGGCTTTAAATCCCTTGAAGCCCAAAACATCCTGCAATTTCAGGATTTGGAGTCTAGAGTAATTTGGGATGTGTTTCATAGAGTTCCAAGGTCCCTGCTCTTTTCTGGTGTTCCTTAAAATTCTCAGCCTGACTGGGAGGCCCCTGCTCCTTTCTGGTGTCCTATAAATTTTCCAGTCTGGATGAGAGGTCTTTGCACCTCTCTGGTGTTACACAAAATTCCCAGCCTGGAAGTGAGTGAGGTCCTTGCTCCTAAAATTCCCAGCCTGGAAGTGAGTGAGGTCCTTGCTCCTAAAATTCCCAGCCTGGAAGTGGGTGAGGTCCTTGCTCCTAAAATTCCTAGCTTGGATGGTGAAGTCCTCGCTCCTCTTGTAATCCCAGGAAAGAGGGAGAAGTGTGGCTCAGGGGGACCTTTCCGTGTCCAGGGTGTGACTCTTGTCTCGTGCGCTGCAGATCATCATTGTGGAGTTTGGTGGGAAGCCCTTCAGCTGCTCCGGGCTCACCCTGAGCCAGTGGTTCTGGTGCATCTTCATCGGAGTGGGAGAGCTCCTGTGGGGCCAGGTAAGGGAAAATCCCAAAATCCCGCCCCATCTTTCTCTCCTGCATTTGTTCTCCCTGTTTTTTCTGCAGGGAAGGTGTGATGACGCCCCACCTCAGCCCAGCAGCAGGAGAGGAGGTGGCTGGTCCTTCCTCACTCTCCTCCTGCTGCAGAGGGACACGGCCAGCGGTGACAGGGACATTCCCAGTGCTCCCACTGGGTCCTGGCAGCTCCTCCAGGCTGGTGGCACTGGCGCTGCTGCCTCGGGAAGGCTGAGCCAGAGTAGAGGCCAGACAGAGCTAAAGAATAAAGCAGGGATTTATTGAAGGATCTCCTCCATGGAGCCACCTTGGGCAGCACAAGAGCCCAGCCAGGGCTGCACCCAAGATGGACCAAAATGGTCACAAAGTGAACCCAAAATGGTCACAAAATGAACCCAAGATGGACCCAAAATTGTCACAAAATGAACCCAATATAGTCACAAAATGAGCCCAAGATGGACCCAAAATGGTCACAAAATGAACCCAAGATGAACCCAAATGGCCACAAAATGAACCCGAAACAAACCAAAATGGTCACAAACTGCACCCAAGATGGACCCAAAATGGACCCAAGATGGACCCAAAATGGTCACAAAATGGACCCAAGTTGGACCCAAAATGGTCACAAAATGCACGACCACTCACGGGGGCTCTCCCTTTTATCAGTTCTGCTCCATTTGCATATTGGAGTTAATTATCCAATTCCAGCTTTAGCCCATGCAGTCCCATCCTGCTTGTTTTTCTCTCTTCAGCCCACATTGTTTGTGTCCTTGGGCTTGAAATTTGGATCATTTGAAATTTGGATCACAGGGAGGGCCTGATATTTTGATCATTTGAAACTCGGATCATAGAGAGAGCCTGAGATTTGGATCATTTGAAATCTGGATGATTTGAAATTTGGATCTTAGGGTGGGCCTGAAATTTGGATCATTTGAGATTTGGATCATTTGAAATTTGGATCACAGAGAGGGCCTGAAATTTGGATAATTTGAGATTTGGATAATTTGAAATTTGGATCACAGAGAAAGCCTGAAATTTGGATCATTTGAAATTTGGATCATAGAGGGGGCCTGATATTTTTATAATTTGAAATTTGGACCATAGAGGAGGAACTGTTTTGTCTCCCTACTCTGTGCAGAGAGCTCACCAACACTTAGTACAAAGCTCAGCCCTTAAAACCACAAAACCCAAACCCTGAGGCCTCCGCACGACCTCAGGCTGAGTCTCTGCTGTGTCCCCGAATGTCCCCAGCTGATCTGCACCGTCCCAACGAGCCACCTGAAGTTCCTGAAGGAAGCCGGGCACGGCATCACCAAGGAGGAGATCCCCGAGGAGGAGCTGCCCGAGGACGTGGACGAGATCGACCACGCTGAGATGGAGCTGCGGCGGGGGCAGATCCTGTGGTTCCGGGGGCTCAACAGGATCCAGACCCAGGTACTGGGGGGCAGCGGGGCCGGGTGGGGGGCTCTGCCTGCTGTGTCCCCTCCTCTCTGTCCCCTGCAGGGGGAAAGGTGCTGCTCGCTGGTGCCATCGCCTCCTGGGCCGGGCTTCCAGCTGTGCCGTTCCAGGGAGCCGGGATCAGCTGGATTTTGGGACAGCTGGGGATGGGGAGGCTGTTCTGCCTCCATGGCCTCAAAGTGACACCTCCATGTTCAGGGTGACACTTCCGTGGCTTCAAGGTGTCACCTCTGTGGCTTCCAGGTGTCACCTCTGTGGCTTCCAGGTGTCACCTCCATGGCTTCAAGGTGTCACCTCCATGGCCTCAAAGTGACACTTCCATGTTCAATGTGTCACCTCGATGGCTTCAAGGTGACACCTCCATAGCTTCAAGGTGACACCTCCATTGCTTCAAAGTGACACCTCCATGTTCAAGGTGACACCTCCATGGCTTCAAGGTGACACCTCCATGTTCAAGGTGTCACCTCCATGTTCAAGGTGGCACCTCCATGGCTTCAAGGTGACACCTCCATAGCTTCAAGGTGCCACCTCTGTGGTTTCAAGGTGGCACCTCCATGTTCAAGGTGTCACCTCCGTGGCTTCCAGGTGTCACCTCCATGGCTTCCAGGTGTCAATATCCATGGCTTCAAGGTGACACCTCCATGGCTTCAAGGTGTCACCTCCATGGCTTTAAGGTGACACCTCCATGGCTTCAAAGTGACACCTCCATGTTCAAGGTGACACCTCCGTGGCTTCAAGGTGACACCTCCATGTTCAAGGTGTCACTTCTGTGGCTTCAAGGTGTCACCTCCATGGCCTCAAGGTGTCACTTCCATGTTCAAGGTGTCACCTCCATGGCTTCACGGTGACACCTCCATCACTTCCAGGTGCCACCTCCATGTTCAAGGTGGCACCTCCATGTTCAAGGTGCCACCTCCATAGCTTCCAGGTGCCACCTCGATGGCTTCAAGGTGACGCTCAAGGTTCCTGGCTGGCTGCGAGCCCCGAGGGGCATCCGGGCTCTTTGTGGGGGTAACCAGAGCTTCACTCACATGAGGAACATGCTGGGACCTTCCGGCATCTTCTGGAAGTGCTGCAGCTGTGCTGGAATTTTGGGAGCTCTGGGGCCGAGCCTGGAGCTTCCCGGGTGTTTCCCTGTGCTGGAGCTGAGCTGAGCTCCTGCCACGTGAGAAACGAGTCCTGGAGCATCTGTGGGGTCCAACCTGAGCCTTGTGGGGGGCTCCTGCCTGAGAAGGGCACAGGGCTCTTCCCCACAGGCCAGGGGAGGAGAGGGACATCGAAATGGGGCCTGGATGTGGGGTCCCTGCTCTTTTCTGGTGTTCCTTAAAATTCTCAGCCTGACTGGGAGGTCCCTGCTCCTTTCTGCTGTCCCATACATTTTCCAGTCTGGATGAGAGATCTTTGAGAGACCTCTCTGGTGTCACACCAAATTCCCAGCCTGGATGGTGAGGTCCTCGCTCCTCTTGTAATCCCAGGAGAGAGGGAAAAGTGTGGCCCAAGGGGACCTTTCCGTGCCCAGGCTGTGACATCGGAGCGGGGCAGGAGCGAGTCCGTGTGTGAAACACCCGCACAGCCAGAGCTGGGGCTGCAGGAGGTGCCCAGAAGGTGCCCAGGAGGTGCCCCAGGGCTGGTCTCACCCATGCTGCTCAGCTCCTGGAGCCTTGGGGACACATCCACAGGGCAGCCCTGAGGCCTGGGAGCGGGGCTGGAACATCTCCTGCTGCCAGGGGAGCCCGTGGAGTGTCCCCAGAGCTGCCCCACAGGGCTGGGGCAGCAGGAGCCCTTCCCACCAGCTGCCCACTCGCACCTCTGCCCACCCTCTCTGTGTCTCTCTGCTCCTCCTGCAGATTTTTGGGATGTTTCCTCTGCCACTGCCTCCCACCACAGCCCTTTTCCTGCTGGGGGGATCCTCCCTGCTGCCCTGGGAAGGGCAGAGTCAGACATTCTCAAAAACCCCACGTGGGTTTCGGGGAGCGTGGGGTGGGCTGGGGTGGCTCTTTGCTCCTTCCTCCTCCTCTTCCTCGCCTTTCCATCCTCCTCCTTCCTCCCTGTCCCTGTCACTGTCCCTGTCCCTGGCGGGGTGTCGCTATCTCACTCTCTGGTTCTTTGCAGATGGACGTAGTTTACACATTCCAGACCGGCGCCTCCTCTTTGCAGGGAGCCCTCAGGAGACAGCCTTCCATCGTGAGCCAGCACCACGATGTAAAAAATGTTTCTAGCCCAACCCATGTAGCTCTTTCCTCCGTCAATTCCACTCCCACCACTTCTGCTGTTGCTGCTGCTGCTGCATCTCCTCCTGCGGGCAGTGAGTGATGGTCTATTACAATGCATGACTTTAATAACCACAGAGAGCACCTGCACCCCCCTAACCCGCCTGTTCTCGCTCCCTCTCCGCCTTCACTCACACACTCAATCCCAAACCTGAAGGACGGGGCGGGAAACCCTTCAAAACCCTTCAAAACCCTTCAAAACCTTTCAAAACCCTTCAAAACCCTTCAAAACCCTTCAAAACCCTTCAAAACTCTTCAAAACGCCAGTTTTTATGCTGTTAACAAAGTTATGAACCTTTCTGGTCCTTTCCCCCCCCCAGTTCCTTGTTGCTTCCTCCAGTTTTACCTCTTCTCCTCCTTTGCAGGGCTGGTGTTTGAGCCCACCCTCCTGAGGGCGGGCAAAAATTGGCAGTTCTTGCTCAAAAAACCCCCGAGTTCACGAGCATTGCTGGGAGAAGGGCAAGGCTGAGCCCAAATCCTGCTGGTTTTTCCCACTGCCCAGCCCCGGGACGTGCCAGGGATGGGCAGAGGAGCTGCTTGAAATCTTTTCTGGAGGCAGAGTGGCCGCTGGGACTGTCCCCAGGGCGGGACAAGCAGGACTTTTTCCTGCCCTGGTGCTGCCCGTGGCTCAGCTGGTGACACCTCGGGGCTGCTGTCCCCCTCTCTGTCCCCACCTGGGGACGTCCCTCTGCTGCCCTGGGGACATCCCCGGGGTTCTGCTGGTGCCCAGGGCAGGCAGAGGATCCTCAGCGCCCACCTTGCTCTGCACACTCTGGATGCCAGGGTGTGCCGACACTGCTCTGCATGGAAAAGGGCATGGAACACAATTCCTGCTGGATCCCAGCGGGAATCCTGGGTCCTGGATCTGGCACTGGGTTTTCAGACCCCCCCCCCAAAAAAAAAAAATCCCTCTGTGTTCATCACAGGCTGTTCTGCACGTGATGGATCTCAGGGTGTGCAGACACACAACTGTGCATGGAAAAGGGCATGGAACACAATTCCTGCTGGATCCCAGTGGGAATGCCGGGTTCTAGATCTGGCACTGGGTTTTCAGACCCCAAAAAAGGCCCTGTGTGGTGCAGGGCTCTCTGTCTGTTCGTCACAGGCTGCTCTGCACACTGGGTTTCAGGAAAAGGGCATGGAAGCCACATTCCTGCTGGATATCGATGGGAATGCTGGGTCCTGGCTTTCCAGAGCCCCCAAAAAAGGCCCTGTCTGATGTAGAACCCCTGTGTGTGTCGGGTGTTGGGGCTGGTGAGCACGTGGCCGTGGATTGTGTCTGCAGGCTGGGAGCAGGGAATGTGTCTCTGCTGGATAATTGGCTTTTTTATTGCACAGTCACTTATCCCTGTTCTCTGATTAGAGAAAAACCCTCGGTGACTTTCTGGAGAGCTTTCAGGCTCCGCTGTTTATGCACTGTGGGGGAGGAGAGAGAATTTGGGATAATTTTGTTTTCTCTCTGTTTAGCTGACTCTGAGGCTGGCAGCTGATTGAGTTTAACCCCAGCGATTCTGGAGCAGCACAGCTGCCTCCTGCTCCTCCTGCATCTGGGAAAACCTCCAGGATTTTCTGATGGGATCAAATCTGCTTGGAGGGGCTCAGAGGGGGGTGGGAACGAGACCAAAATGCAGTCTGTGGATCCATGTTTCCCCCATTTTGCAGCGAGGGAATAGAAAACTTGGATAGCTCGTGCAAACTTCACCAGGAGCTAACCCAGGTCTCCAAATTTCCTGCTGTTTTCTTGCCTGGATTTCTCTTGTTTCCCTCTGCTGCTTCTCTCTCTCCCAAATCTCCTCTTCCCTCCACGCAGATCCGTGGTGTCCCTCTCCCGTGGATGAGTTTTTTCCAGGGCTGGACTTGCTGTGTGTCCCTCCTGGAATTGCTGGAGAGGTCTCAGGAATTGATGTTCGGGTTTTGGCAGGGCCGAGCTGCTCCTGCTGGGAATTCTGCCCTGGCTTGAGGGATGTAATTCCCACCCCCCTCAGCACGTGGAGGTTTCACGGGAATCAATTCCAAGCCTGGAGGTTGCATTTGAAGCTTCCAGGTGGGGAGGAGGCGGGAGCTGGGCCGTGGGAGGGAGGGAGGAGCGGCTCCAGGCTGGAATTCGGCTCTGCTGGCGCTGCCTGCCTCATTCAGAACACATTTCCTCCCTGCTCCCTTCCTTGGAGAGGGAACAGCTGAATTCAGCGCGCAGCAGGTGATGGAGAAGGGAGGAAAACGTGAGGGAAGCTGCAGCAGGAGCTCCTTGAGGGGGCTGAGCAGGAGGCTGAGCGCAGATTCCCTGGAATTGCTCCAAGGAGCCTTCCCTGCTGCTCCTGGCAGTGCTGGACAGATCTCCAGGGGTCTGGAGGGGATGGCTTGGGAAGGGAGATCTGCTCCCACAGGAGAGGGGGAGGCTTCTGTGGAGCTGCTCCTAAATCTGAGCTTGTAGATGTCACCACCTGGTGGCTCCGAGTCCCTGGGCTCTCCTTGGCCACCTCCTTGTGGCTTTGAGTCCCTGGGCTCTCTTTGGCCACCTCCTCGTCGCTCTGAGTCCCCTCCTTGGCCACTTCCTGGTGGCTCTGAGTCCCTGGGCTCTCCTTGGCCACCTCCTCGTGGCTTTGAGTCCCCTCCTTGGCCACCAGCTTGTGGCTCTGGCAGTCCCTGGGCTCTCCTTGGCCACCTCCTGGTGGCTTTGAGTCCCTGGGCTCTCCTTGGCCACATCCTCATGGCTCCAAGCCCCTGGGCTCTCCTTGGCCACCTCCTCGTGGCTTTGAGTCCCCTCCTTGGCCACCTCCTGGTGGCTCTGAGTCCCCTCCTTGGCCACCTCCTGGTGGCTCTGAGTCCCTGGGCTCTCCTTGGCCACCTCCTGGTGGCTCCGAGTCCCCTCCTTGGCCACCAGCTTGTGGCTCTGGCAGTCCCTGGGCTCTCCTTGGCTTGGTTGGATTTGTTCTCCTTGGTTCAGGTGGTGTTGTAGGGCTCAGAACTTGCTGTTCTCGAGCTGTTGCTGATGGGACAGATGATCAGTGTGAGGTGGCCCCGTGGTGTCCCTTGTGCTGTGCGTTCACCTGAATTGATCCAAGGTCACCAGTGCACAAATCCAGCTCTGAATTGCTTCCCAACTCCCTCAAATTCCCGTTTTTCCAGGCCAGTGGTGCTCCAGGCTGAGGTGTCTGTGCTCCAGCTCGGGTGTGTGCCCTGCTCCCTGTGCAGGAGCTCCTGGGGCTGCTTCCAGCTGGGATGGGCCGAGCCCGTGCCAGGAAATTCCTCCTGCTCCAGGGAGCAATTCCTCCTGAGCCAGGGGCAAAACACACCGGGAAGGGCATCCCTGGTGAGAGGGGCAGGGACAACTCCAGGGTTCCAGGCACACGAAGGAATTCCCTGATCCAGAGATCCTCAGGAGGTTTTTGGCTGTGCTGGAGGGGGTGAATTCCCACTTAGAGGGGTGAATTCCCACTTGGAGGGGTGAATTCCCACCTGAAGGGGTGAATTCCCACTTGGAGGGGTGAATTCCCACCTGGAGAGGTGAATTCCCAGAGCTCTCCATTCCCTGCCGCTCTGCATCTCCTGCCTGAGCCTGGATTTCGGTGGAGCTGCCCCAGGGCTTCCCCAGGATGGTGTGTGTGGCTGGAATTCCTTCAGAATATCCAACAGAATCTGAACTGGCTGCCAGCCCCATCAAATTCCCATTTTTCCAGGCCGGTGGAACTGCTTTTGGAAACCACTGGGTGTCTCCTGCAGGTGCAGGGAAGGTGCAGGTCCCTTCCCCTGTCGTGCCCATTTTGAGAGTATCAAAAATCATCGAAAGTTGTACCTTCAGAAGCAGCCCTGGCAGTGTGTTTGTCCCAAATTCACCTGCGTGGATTTAGACAATTCAAAGGACAAAAATTTCCTCGTGCTGGCATTTATTTGGTGCAGGAAAGTTGATGCCTCTGACAAAAAGTAAAATGAAGCAATAATTGGGGAGGGGCGAGCTGAGTCCTTGGCATGTGCTGGTGGACGCATCCGTGTGTCCCCTGTAATCCGAGGGCCCTAAGGGACATTTGGGGACAAGAATACAACAAAGTCACAAAGAACCAAACCACCTAAACATCTGTGGGTGCAGGGAAGGCTCCAGATCTCCAGCAGTGTGGGGAACCCCACACCGAGCTGGATTTTCACCTGGATCCTCACAGCACCCACATGGATTTGGTGCTTCCAGGGGCTCCAAAAAAAACCTGGAGCCACCTTTGCACAGCCCCATTCCTCTGCAGAGCTGTAGGAAGGACCCTCCCAACCCCACCCACGGCTCCCACAGTGTCGCTGTCGAGGCAGGACGGGAATGAAGGGACTCTGACCAGAAAGTTGTGAGAGTAAAACTCTGATTTATTCAAAATACCCCGCTCTTTTATACAGAGCTCCGTGAGGACCAACTCCATCACTGAAGTGAAAACAACTCACAGCACTGGTGTACAGTGCTTGACACACAGTGATAGAACTTAACTATAAACAATGTAAAAAACAAGAGAGATACAGAATTATTTACATTCTTCTCCAGCTCTTTCCCAGGCTCCTGCCTGGCTAGAAACTCTCGGTTTCTTTCCCTGACTGAATCTGAGTCCCACACCACAGTAGATGCTGTTTGCCTAACCCACCTCTTTTTGGAGCCGTAGTTTCCTCCACCTCCTCCGTTGTCCTCGTGTCCGTCCACCCCGAGGCGCGCGCGCACCCACACACGAATTTAACGACTAATTAACGCCTTTTGGCTTCCATCCATCCAGACCGGTGATGCTGGGGCGGCGGTTTTGAGTCGTCCCGTGTCTTTTCTTGCAGCTTCTGAGGCCGCCCCGTAGCCGGTGGGTCCCCACCACCCCCGTAGTGCCTGACTCTGACCCCCCCCAGTTCACCGTAGATGTCTCATTTTTGACCGAGCTGTCTGTTCAGTGGTGATTTTGTCGCTGTGGTCGTGCTGTTTTATTATTTTTTTGTTTGATGGTTGTCTTCCATCATTTTTTCCACGTTCTCCCTCCGTCCCTGCCCTGTGGCACCACGCTGACCCATTTTTTTTCCCTCCCCACGCCGCCCAGATCAAAGTGGTGAATGCGTTCCGTAGCTCCCTCTACGAAGGCCTCGAGAAACCCGAATCCAGAAGCTCCATCCATAACTTCATGACTCACCCCGAGTTCATCCTGGAGGAAGACGAGCCTCGGACACCATTCCTGGACGGCACCGAAGACGAGCCCGAGCCTGAGGGACTCCAAAAGCGAGGTGGGGGCAGCCTGGGGGGCTCCACGGCCCTCAACAGGAACAACAACGCCGTGGACAGCCAGTTCAGCTTCCCCGAGCCCGGGAGCCCCTTCCACAGCCTGGAGACCTCTGTTTGACCCTAGAACTTGGAATTCCCCCTCCTCCTCCTCCTCCTCCTCTTCCTCATCCTCATCCACCTCAACCCTGTGTGATGCCAGCAGCAGTAACTGGTCACACACGCTGCGGTCACTCCGTGTCAAACTGCTCATGCCTGTATCATCATCTGGGTTTTTGGGGGTTTTTTGGGGGGTTTGGGGGGGTGTTCATCTGTTTTTTGGGGTTTTTTTTTATTTTGTTTTTTTTATTTTTTTTTTTTTACCGTTATTTAGCAGTGGGAAGCAGAGTACCACCACGCTGGGTGTTGGGAGAGAGGCTAAGCCAAAAAAAAAACAACAAAAAAAACCACCAATTGTGCATCTCCATCCCTGATTTTCCGTGGTACTCACCCAGGGGAAGCTGCAGCTTCTTTCCTCTCCAAGAGTTGGGCTCCAGGCACCTGGAGCCAGGGGGTTTCACTTTGGAAAAATGCATGTTCCAAGGAAATTCAAATTGTTGTAGTCTTACACGCCCTCAGCCCAAAGGCTGGGGGTGCACTTGTGACTTGATTTTTTTTTTTTTTTTTTTTTGTGTGTGTGGTTTTTTGGGTTTTTTTCCCACACGTGATTTTTTGGGGTTTTTTTTTCCTTCTAACGTTGGGGTTTGCTCTTTGCTTGTGGGATTTTCCCCCCAGTGGGAAGTGGGGAGGGGCAGTCACTGCTCCAGTGTGAAAATTAAGGAATAAACTAAAAAAATCCCAGCCAGGGGAAGGTGTTTACTCCAAGGTTCAGAGATCCAGGGATGCCCACCAGTCTTCCAGCTTTGAAAAATGGCACCTGGGCTTTTTCCAGCTCTGCCTCTGTGGGTGCCCACACGTTTTCCTCTCTCTGTTTCCAAACCGGGAGATGAGAAATGAATGTGGGGCTTGGCTCTAACCTCGCTGGAGGGGAGAGATTCTGATTTTCCTGCAAAAGTGGAGGTGAAACTGCCAGGGAAAAGGTGAGGAAAGCCCCCCCGTGTGAGGGATGCAGCTTCTTCCTGAGGAATTCTCTAGGAATTCTCTTCTCCTGCTTTGGGAGAGGCCTCTCTGCTGCTCTTGCTCGGGGAGGGAACTCTTGGGGTGAGGATTTTTGCAGCTCTCCCGCTCCTGCCCTCCAGAGCAGATGGATTTTTGCCTTTTTTCCTCTGTGTTTTTGGGGTCCAGCCCCCCTCAGCCCCGCAGTGATCCGGGAGGAGGCTCCAGCCCTGCCCAAAAGCTGTGGGAGGCTGAGTGGAGGATGCTGAGGATGCTCCTGGATCCTGGGAGGGATCCCAGATTTTCCCAGATTTTGGCTTGGATGGCTGCAGGGCTCCCAGAGAAGCTGCTGCTGGAGAAGCTGCAGCTCGCTTTGGCTGCATTTTTTTGGAGTTCATGTCCTCCCCTCGAGCCTTGGGAGAGTCCCTTTTCCTTGGAGTTGCCTCTGGATTGTCCCTCTGGAGCAGCAGGCAGGGCTTGGGAGGCTCTGCCACCTCCCTGCCCTGCTCCAGCCCCTCTGGCTGGCTCTGGAGCAGAGAGGAGGAGCTGGAAGCGAGGTCGTTCCCACCCCTGGATGGGAAAACCCTGGAATTGCAAGGGATGGGATTCCCAGGGATGGGATTCCAAAGGATGGGATCCAAACCCTGGGATTTCAAACCTTGGGATTTCAAACCCTGGGTTCCAAACCCTGGGATTTCAAACCCTGGGATTTCAAATCCTGGGATCCAAACCCTGGGATTCCAAACCCTGGGATGCAAACCCTGGGATTTCAAACCCTGGGATTTCAAACCCTGGGATTTCAAACCCTGGGATTCCAAACCCTGCGATTCCAAACCTTAGGATCCAAACCCTGGGATCCAAACCCTGGGATTCCAAACCCTGGGATCCAAACCCTGCGGATCCAAACCCTGGGATTTCAAACCCTGGGATTTCAAACCCTGGGATTCCAAACCCTGGGATCCAAACCCTGGGATTCCAAACCCTGGGATCCAAACCCTGGGATTTCAAATCCTGGATTTCAAACACTGAGATTTCAAACCCTGGGATCCAAACCCTGGGATTTCAAACCTTGGGAATTCAAACCCTGGGATGCAAACCCTGGGATCCAAACCCTGGGATTTCAAACCTTAGGATCCAAACCCTGGGATACCAAACCCTGGGATCCAAACCCTGAGATTCCAAACCCTGAGATTTCAAACCCTGGGATTCCAAACCCTGCGATTCCAAACCTTGGGATTCCAAACCCTGGGATTTCAAACCCTGGGATGCAAACCCTGGGATTCCAAATCCTGGGATTTCAAAGCCTGAGAATTCAAACCCTGCAATTCCAAAGGCTGAGTAAGGGTTGTTTTTTTTATTTTTTTGGGAAAGGTTTTGGCTCTGGCTGGGTTCTGCTCCTGCCCCGTCCCACCAGGAGCTCCCAGCGGAATCTCCCGTGCCTTGTCCGAGCACTGCCTGCAGCACCTCCTGCCACGCCAGGCCCAGATTTAACCTTTGCCAAGATTTTTAAGTGTTCCTTAAATAAAACCACAAACACAAACCAAGTGTCTTCGCTTCGCCCCCGGCACCGCCGCGGCCTGGGAGGAGGAGGAGGAGGAGGAGGAGGAGGAAGGAGCAGCTCGCTCCTGCTGAGGAGAAGATTTTTATCCCAAAAATCCCAAATTATACCCCAAATTTCCCTGGTGCTGGCCAGCTGGGCTTTGTTCACTGCCAACAGCAAGAAGAAATTGCCACCACTGCCCGTCCCCAGTGCAAATTCAGTGTCCACCCCATGCCCGGCTCCTCCTTCCCCCCAAAAATAACCCAGGGGAGCGAGGGGATTTTGGGTTAAACAACAAAAGCAAACCCCAAACGAGGGGTGGTTGTGGGGTTTTGGTTCTGTGCTAAAGGTGACGTTGCTTTAAAAAAAAAAAAAAAAATTCACTTTTTCTATTTTAAATACTTGCAAAAAAGCCAAAAAAAAATATATATGGTGTTCTTACAAGCTTACTAAATATTTATTAAATACTTTTTTGGGGGGATGCACCGATTTTTTTTTTTCTTTTTGATATTTTTTTTTAATACCTCAGACCTGTTGAAAAAATAGAAATTTAAAAACAAAAAAAAAAAAAAGAAGACTCAAACCAACAACAACTTCAAACCAACTTTGGAGGCTCTCAAAGTCACTCCCAAAAAATCTGTGACTTGGCAGGGTTTGCCACAAAGGGTCTGGTCGTTCCTTTAGTTTGCTCTATTTTTGTTGTTCTAGTTGCCATTTTAAGAGTGGGTGGGGAGGGAAGGGAGGGAGAAATAATGCTATATATAAATATTATGCAAAAAAAAAAAAAAAAAAAAAGAAAAAGAAAAAAAATCTAGTTTTCTTTAGCTCAGAAACTGATATTTTTACGTCAGCCATATGTATTTTGTTTAAAGAAAATAAAGAACTATCGAGTCCCGCCGCTGCCTGAGGGCAGTTGCAAGGGACACTTTAATTAATTCCGTGGATTAATTAATTCAGCCATCGGATGCCAGTCAGCTTCCTTTTCTCTGAGCAGCCATCTTTCTACTAGCCGTGAGTTGGATGACACAAATGGCTTGTTTTTTTTATATAAATATCTATAAATTATGTTGGTGTATGGCTGGTTGCTTCAAGTATAAATGTTTCTTGTGCAGATTTCCTGTAAAGTTTTGTTTTTTTGGGGTTCAGTTTCAGTGATATCCTGGCAGCAGCTGACTCTTGGCTTAAGTTATTGAGGACATTACACAAAAAAACAACAAAAAAAATATATATAGGGGAGATTGGTGCTCCAAAAAAAACAAAAATAAAAACAAAAAAACAAAAGGCATGGTCAGCGGGCAGCACGGACTTTTGGGGACTTTCTGCAACATGCCTTGACTAGGGGGAGATATAAATATCCATATAAATATATATTATAATGAATAATTTTTGGGTTTTTTCTTTTTTTTTTGCTTTGTTTGAACTGCCACGAGCGCGCGCGGAGCAGGGGAGGGCCGGGACCCAAAGCCACCCCCTCCCTCCTCCTTGTGATCAACTTGTGCTTTGTTATTAAAACACTCTGAACATCCTTCTGCATCCAGTTCTTGCTCCCAGCAGGGCGGATTTTCCCATTTTTTCCGTGGATTTTCCCATTTTTTCCGTGGATTTTCCGTGGAATTGGCGGATCGGTACCAAAGACGTCGCGGGCTGGCCAAGCAGCTCTCGAGGCGTTCTCCTGCTGAGGTTTTTATCATCAAGGGGGTGGGGAGGGAGGTTTAATTTCATTTTTTTTATTTTTCCCCAAGTTTTCCGTGCAATAAAGTGAAATTTCCCAACCGATCTCGCGAAGGAAATAAACCAAACCGCGTTTTTAGCATGGGCGGCCCTTTCCTCCCCTCACGCTCTGGGCCAATAATCTCCTTTTTCCCACCCAAAAAGGGATTTTGGCGTTTTTTCCTCTCACCCAAAATGCCTCCTGCACCCCCAGATCTCCACATGGGATGTGGGGGAACCTTTTCTTGCTTATTTTCCACCCAAACAGGGATTTTGCCACTTTCTTCCCTCACCCAAAATCCTGCACCTCCAAATCATCCCTTGAAAACGATGTGGGAAATCCTTTTCTTGTTTATTTTCCACCCAAACGGCGATTTTGGCATTTTCCCCCCACCCAAAATCCTGCACCTCTCCAAATCATCCCTTGAAAAGGATGTGGGAAATCCTTTTCTTGTTTATTTTCCACCCAAACGGGGAATTTTTGCCACTTTCTTCCCTCACCCAAAATGTTTCCTACCCCCCAAATCTCCCTGTGGGATGTGGGGAATCCTTTTTCTGCTCTTTTTCTGCTCTTTTTCCACCCAAATGGGCATTTTGGCATTTCCCCCCTCAACCAAAATGCCTCTTGCACCTCTTTTCTCATTAATTTTCCAATCCAAACGGGGATTTTGCTGTTTTCCCCCCATCCAAAATGCTTCCAGCACCCCCAAATCATCCCCTTGGGATCTGGGGAGTCCTTTTCTTGTTTATTTTCCACCCAAACAGGGATTTTGGTGTTTTCCCCCCTCACCCAAAATGCCTCCTACACCCCCAAATTATCCTCTCAGGATTTGGGGAATCCTTTTCCCGTTAATTTTTCACCCAAACGGGGATTTTGGCATTTTCCCCCCACCCAAAATCCTGCATCTCTCCAAATCATCCCTTGAAAAGGATGTGGGAAATCCTTTTCTTGTTTATTTTCCACCCAAACGGGGATTTGGGCACTTCTCCCCCTCACCCCAAATTCCCCAATTTCCCAATTTCTCTCCCCAAATTCCCCAATTTTCATCCAGCAAAGCCCACGGCTAAAACTGCCTTTAGTTTATTTCCTCCCCTTCAATAAATATATATATATATACAGTCTGAACTCAACATTTATGTGTGTGTATTTATATTTATCCAACGTTCTCACACAACAACAAAAAAAACAACTTTCTTTTGAAGAGGGCATGTGAAACTAAGTTTTTATTTTTATTTTTTTTTTCCCAGTAACTCAGTATAATAAGCACTGGTATTTTTGTATTAAAAAAGAAAAAAAAAACCCAAAATACGAAACAAAAGACTGAATATTATGTGGTATGCATGACATTAAAAAAACAAAACAATGGTGGTTTCAAAGCAATATGTACCCTGGTGTGTTTGCCATATCCTAGAGTCCAGCTTAAAGTGCACCTGATCTGTATTGCATTTTGATATTAATCTCTATGTACAATGTTTTGCATGTAATTTATATGGATCTTGGGAGAAAAAAACAAAAAAAAAAGGAAAAAAAAGACCAACAAAACCAGAATTTGAATGAATTGTGCGTTGGTTTCTTCTGAGCAAACAAACTCCAAGCAGAGATGAAACTCCAAAGTGGAAGCAGCGGTTGAGGGGTGGGAAAAGAAGGTGCAGTAAAATAAAAATAAAAATTAAATTAAATAAAGAGGGAGAAGGGGAACGGTTTGGAATTAATGAAGATTTTTTTTGGCTGTTGAGCAGGAACGATGCATCCAGAGAATAAAATGTGCCCACGTGTAAATGTGGCGTGATCCGTGTGTCCCAAAGCTGCCCCAGGAATGCTCCGGAAAAGTGGGAAAAGGGTGGGAAAAGGGAGGGGAAGAGGAAGAGGAAGAGGAAAAGGGGTGGGAAGAGGAAAAGGGGTGGGAAGGGAAGAGGAAGAAGGAGAGGAAGAGGAAGGGAAAGAGGGAAGGGAAGAAGGGTGGGAAGAGGAAGGGGAAGAGGGGTGGGAAGAGGAAGAAGGGTGGGAAAAGGAAAAGGGATGGGAAGAGGAAGGAGAGGAAGAGGGATGAGATGAGGGGTGGGAAGAGGGACGGGAAGAAGGGTGAGAAAAGGGATGGGAAGAGGAAAGGGGTGGGAAAAGGGATGAGAAGAGGGATGGGAAGAGCAAGAGAGATGGGAAGAGGGAAGGGATGGGAAGAGGGGCAGGAAGAGGGAAGAGGAAGAGAGATGGGAAGAGGGATGGAAAGAGGGACAGGGAAAAGGATGGGAAGAGGGATGGGAAGAGGAATAGAGATGGGAAGAAGGAGGCAAAGAGTGGTGGGAAGAGAAAGAGGGATGGGAAGAGGGGTGGGAAGAGGAGATGGGAAGAGGGAGGGGAATAGGGGTAGGAAGAGAGAGAGGAAGAGAATGGAGCCTGTCAGGCGGGTGAAGCCACTTCCGGACACCATCTTTGAACCGGGCACCGGCACACGGCGGCGGCCCCGGCAGGGTATAGAAACACAATCCTGTTCCCTTCACAGGGAGAAGTTTTTTTTCCCATTGTTGAGCCTTTCTGAAGGACTTTTGAAGCGTCCGGAAGCAAAAAAAAAACCACAGTAAAATCCACACCCGCTCCGCCTCATCCGCTCGCACGCCCTCTCCTTTCCTGTAGGGCAGGTGATGCCACTTCCGGCCGCCATCTTGGCAATGCGCGCCATCTTTGAGCTGGGCTCCGGGACACGGCCAGCGGCCCCGGCAAGGCATAGAAACACAATCCTGTTCCCTTCACAGGGAGAAACTTTGTCCCCTTTTTGAGCCTTTTAAAGGATTTTTGAATCGTGCGGAAGCAAAGTCCATAGTAGGATCCGCCTCATGCGCCTGCCCGCCCTCTCCCTTCCTGCAGGGCGGGTGAAGCCACTTCCGGCCGCCATCTTGGCAGAGGGCATCAACTTTGAGCCGGGCACCGGTACGCGGTGACGCCGGCGAAAAAACAAATTCCTTGTCATTTCCGAAATAAAATCTTTGTCCCGTTTTTGAAGAACTTTTGAAGCGCGAGGAACGCAAAACCAGCAAAATCCAGTTTTGCTCCACTTCGGGAGAGTGAAGCCACTTCCGGCCGCCATCTTGGCAGGGGACGCCATCTTTGAGCTGGTCACCGGGACACGGCGGTAGATCACGGCAGGGCATAGAAACACAATGCTGTTTCCTTCACCGGGAGAAGCTTTGTCGCCTTTTTGAAGGATTTGTAAAACTTGGGGGAGCAAAACCATCACAATTCATCCTCCATCCGCCTCAGGCGCCTGCCCGCCCTCTCTTTTCCTGTAGGGCGGGTGAAGCCACTTCCGGCCGCCATCTTGGCAGCGGCGGCGCTGAGGCTGCGCGGCTCGCCGGGCGCCATCTTTGAGCCGGGCACCGGCGACACGGCGGCGGCGGATCGCGGCGGATCGCGGCGAACGGCGGCGCGGCGGCCCCCGGGGGCTCGGTAAAACTCCCTGAGCGACCGTAAATAAAAGCGCTTCGGAGCCCCGCGGCGGCGGCTGGGAGGGGGACACGGCGGGGACTCGGCTGGGCGAGGGTGGCGCCGCTTCCTCCGCAAGGCCGCGCGTCCCCCGCGCTGCCCCCACAGCGGGGACGAGCGGGATAAATTGGGATAAATTTGAATAAATCGGGATAAAATTTGATTAATAAAGTGAAATTAGTGGGATGAGGTGGAATTAGCGGGATTAAAATCGGTTGTCGGTGGGTTTTGTACCCCCGGGGGTTTGGTTGGAAGAGCAGCGCGCCCGGTGTAACCCCGAGGTTTTTCCCCTCAGCGCTCATCCCCTCACAAAATTCGTTTTTTCAGCAGAAATGTTTCCTAATTTTCCTCATTTTCAGCTTAAAATGCCTTCCTCCTTGTTGTATCAACGCGTCTGAGGGGTATTTCTAATATAGTCACCAAATTTCTCCTCATTTCCCTAAAGGAACTTCAGGACCGGGCTGAAATCTTCCCTGAGGTTGTTAAAAAAAAACCAACAAAATTCGAATTTTTCGGGTATTTTCTTGTTTTTTTTAAAGGTTGGAGCTGTGAGATTTCTGCTTTCTGACGTCGTTTTTGGTACAGAAACACCAAAATGTGATTTTTTTTGTTGTTGTTGTTGTTGAGCGTCCAGGTGATTCCCAGAATTGCACTCAGGGTCGTGCATATCCTAAATAAAAGCTTAAATATTTTGGTGTAAAAAAAAATTAGAATTCAATAAAAAAGGAAGTTTTAAAAAAGTAGAATTAAATAAAAAGGGAATAAAGGATTGAATTTGGGCACAGCTGAAGCAGAGCAGGAGGAATTTTCCAGGTAAAACTTCCTGGTGGTGGCATTTTTCCAAGGTGAAATCCAGGGGAAAATCCGATTTTTTTAAAATTTTTTTTTTGGAAAATCGAATATTTTTGGTATTTAAGAAAGTATTCCCATGATGGGGAGGAATTGTCACAACAAATCGTTGCCAGGCCTTGGGGTTGAGCACAAAAATAGAGAAAACAAAAAGAAAATAAATTTTATTTGATTATTCTTGTTTTATTCCAGAGAGGCTGTAGCAGCTTCCCTTGGTTTGGAGTTGATTCATGAGGAGGAAAAGCTGGAGGAGAGAGGAAAAAAAAAGGTTTAAAAATGGGTTAAAAAGTTGAATTTTTGGTGCTTTTCCTTCTTCTTTCACCTGATAAATCATCAGGAATTTAAGGCACAAATTTGGGGGTTTGAAATCCAAGAATTCCTCACAGGAAAATCCTTTATTTTCCCTTTAAAAATTTAAATTTTCCCTTTAAAAACAAAAAGGTTGTGTTGGTTTTTGGCCTGGCTTTTGCTGACCCTCAAGTCCTGATTTCCAAAAAAATTTTAATTTTTTTTTTTTTTTAGAAATAATCGGTTTAAAAAATATTTTACCAGAAAAATTTTAATGGAATTTTGGACAAAAAATTGTTTAAAATTCTCATTAACTTGAATTCATTTGAGACCTGCTGAGTGCACCAGAATTACTCATTTTTATTCAATTTTTTTTTGATTGCCACCTTGACACCAGTTTAAAATTAAACCAAGAAAAAAAATATTTTAATGAACCTTTTAATAATTAAATTTTCTTGATGAACTTTAGAACTTGGAGGGGGTTTGGGGGGGAGGTTTGGTTGATTTTTTTTCTGTTGTTTTGTTGATTTTCAAGGTTTTATTCCAATTATTTAAGCGAAATTGAGACTCTGAACTGAAATATGGAAAATTATGAGAGGCAAAAAGCTGATTGAATTTCTCAGTTAAATTCAATTAAATCCCTGAATTAAATCTCCAGGGATTTTCTTCCCCCTAAAGGTGCTGGATGTAGGAAAATGTTGCATTTTTAAGTGTGAAAATTCAATTTTCCAGCCTGGTTTGGGTTGAAATTCCTGCTTTTATCACCCCTCATTCAGCAAATTCAGCCTTGAAATTTCAATTTAACTCCCAAGAATATTGGGGGGAAAACCCTGAGAAAAAGAAGAAAATTTCCAGGAATTTTTAGGAGTAAATTCCCCTGGAAAATCTGATTTTTAAAGTCCAAAAATGCATTTAAATCCTGTTTTATTCCCTTTGTCAAGCAGCCAAAAAAAAAACCCCTCAATAATTAATATGAAAACCCAACTTTTCCTCTCTTTATTTTAGATTTGGGAAAATTCTCTGACCAAAACAAAACAAAAAAAAATCCTGAGAAAATTGAAAATTTTGTTTGTGTGAGTAAAAGGTTCAAACTGTTTCTTCTTAAGGTGTAAATAAAAATTTCACTGAATTTTGTCCTCCCCAAAGAGTGAAAAATCCTTTGCACAGAAATATCAGAAGGGTAAAATTAACTTTTATTTGCATTTTAGCTGGTTTGGTTACAAGGTTGTGTGGAAAAGAGCCCTAAAAATCAGATTTTTTAGAAGACTATCCAAAAGAAAAGCGTGATTCATGTGAAAAAAAATCAATTTTTGGTGGCACCAAAACCCCCAATCAGCTGCTGGGACGAGCTAATGATGGATGAATGGATTAGGCAACAACACAAATGGCAAAATTGGAATATTTGATGGAAAAACTCAACAAATTCCTGCCAAAAATCCCCCAAAAAATTCAGATTTTCCTTGGTTGAGGGATGGGGGTGGATGTGTTTGTCCCTGTGCTGTCCCCATGTCCCCAAATCCCCTCTCACCCCATCAAAAATCCCTCAAATAATCTAATTTTTCCCCCCCTTCAATGAGAGATTCATGTGGGAAATGGGCCCAAAATTTGAATTTTTTGCTGTTTTTTCTCCTTGTTCTGCCGTCCCTCCCTCTGGTGACGTGTGTATAAACGCATTTCTGGGTTTATACACACAAATTTGGGGTTGTTTTTTATTTTTTTTTTATTGTACAGGTCATAAAGGACGGGGGAAGGTTTTTGTGTTTTCTTAATAGGTGAAGAAATCTCAGAAGACCCGAAATTGCAACTTACTGAATTAAATAATTAAAAAAAACAATTTAAAAAAAATTATAAATTTCCCCAGCTGTGGAAGATGGAGCCTCATTTTTGCAGCCACTTTGAATCCTGAGTTCATCTTAAAAAAAAAAGCAGCTGGGGCGCTTTTTTTATATTTTTTTGTTTGTTTTTTTAATTTTTTTTTTTTTACTGGAAGAGCTAAAATATCCCTGGCTGTCTCCAGTGTGCCAGATTTGCAATGGACTCAATTCCTCCATTAATTATCAGATTGTTCTGAGAGCACCTCAGAGTTTTGGAATTGTTGGCTGAGAGGTTCCCTTGGAATTGTCAGGAGGAAAAATCACAAAAAAAAAAAAAAAAAAACCCAAAAAAAAAGGCAAAATTCAAATTTTTTTCTGCCCCTTTGTTATTCATTGACGGAATCCTTCGGCCTACAGGAGAGGGGAACTGCATGGCTGGGAAGAGCCAAGGCTGGGCTCAGCGGGGCCAGGTGGGTGAGCTCCAGAGCGGCCTGGGATGGGGAAAATAACCTGGATTTTGGGGAAAAATTGGGGGAAATGCCTCTGGGACTGGGGGAAAAATCACCTCAATGTTGGGGGAAAATTGGGGGGAAAATGGCCTGGATTTGGGGAAAAATGTCATGGATTTCGGGAGAAATTGGGGGGAAAATTCCCCGGGGACTGGGGAAAATGTCCTGGGATTGGGGGAAAATCACCTGGATTTGGGGGGAAAATTGGGGGGAAAATGGCCTGGATTTGGGGAAAAATGTCCTGGATTTCTGGAGAAATTGGGGGAAAAATCCCCCAGGGACTGAGAGGGAAAATCCCCCTGGGATTGGGGGAAAATCACCTGGATTTGGGGGGAAAACGGGGGGAAATGGCCTGGATTTGGGGAAAAATGTCCTGGGATTGGGGGAAAAAAATGTCCTGGATTTCTGGAGAAATTGGGGGAAAAATCCCCCGGGGACTGGGGAAAATGTCCTGGGATTGGGGAAAAATGTGGGGGAAATCCCCCTGGGATTGGGGAAAAATGCCCTGGATTTGGGTGAAAAATGGGGGGGAGAATGTCCTGGAATTGGGGGCAAAATGGGCTGGATTTGGGGGAAAATCCCCCTGGGACTGGGGGAAAATCACCTGGATTTTGGGGGAAAATCACCTGAATTTGGGGGGAAAAATTGCCTGGGTTTGGGGGAAAGTCCCCCTGGGATTTGGGGGAAAAGATGGGGAGAAAATACTCTTGGGACTGGGGGGAAAATGCGCTGGGATTGAGGGGAAAATCCCTTGGATTTTGGGGAAAAATTGGGGGGGGAAATCCTGGATTTGGGGGGAAAATCACCTGGATTTGGGGGAAAACTGGGGGAAAAATGCCCTGGGATTGGGGGAAAAATCACCTGGATTTTGGGGAAAAATGCCCAGGATTTGGGGAGAAAATCCCCCTAAATTTGGAAGAAAAATCCCTTGGGACTGGGAAATGGGATCTGGGGGAAAAAAATCCCCCTGGGATTGGTAATAATAGTGTAACGTTAAATAATACATGATAATAATATTAAAACATTAATTTAATTTATTATTAAAATATTATTGAACCATTGATAACTGAAAATTGCACCCAATTTTTGAAGAAGTGCCTCTCTTTTGGGGTCACTCCCTAACTTTTTTGGGATCACTCCTTTATTTTTGGGGTCACTAGTTGATATTTCTCTACCTCAAGACCCAGAACTGTTCCTAATCTCCCAAATTCCAATTTATACTGACAAAACCCCTGCAGTTTGACCAAATCTGCTTTAAAAATTCCCGTAAAAACCAAAATTTTCACCAAATTCAGCTTTATTTTTATTCCTGTTTAACTCCAATTAATTCCAAAATTAAACCAATTAATAGGAAATGAGCCTAAAACCTGATTTTTCACCCTGATCCCTTTGTGCAGGGTCACTTTTAAAAAGAAGCTGTCACAGCTAAGGCAGAGAAGCAGTTCTGGAGGAAGGGAGGAGCAAAGCCTGAGCAAGCCGTGAGGATCCCTCAGCATGTCCAGCCAGGGGGATGACTGCTACTTCTACTTCTACTCCACCTGCAACAAGGTGAGCCTGACCCCTCTGGGAGCAAGGAGGGAACAGATTCCTCCTCATTATTGGTTATCGATTGGTTATTGGTTCATTGATCCACTCCCGGTTTGGAAATCTGCATTTCTGTAAGATGTGTGTCATTTCCATTTCCAGCCCTTTTCTTTTCAAACTTGTGTGCTTGTCCCAGCTCATTTTTCACTTTTGTGATTTTTCCCATCCCATTTTTTTCACCTGTCCTTTTCCCATCCCATTTTTTAATCTTTTTGCTTTTCCCATCCCATTTTTAGCCTTTGTGATTGTCTCATCCCATTTTTAACCTGTGATTTTTTCCCATCCCATTTTTAAACCTGTGCTTTTCCCATCCCATCTTTTACCTGTGCTTTTCCTATCCCATTTTTTAACCTTTGTCATTGTCCCAGCCCATTTTTAACCTTTGTCATGGTCCCATCCCATTTTTTTACCTCTGTGCTTTTCCTTTCCATCCCATTTTAAACCTGTGCTTTTCCCATTTTCCATTTTTTAAGATCTGTGCTTTTCCTGTCTAGCCTGGTTTTTTTAAACCTGTGATTTTCCCATCCTATTTTTTAACCTTGGTCATTGTGTCATCCCATTTGTAACCTGTGATTTGTCCCATCCCATTTTTTACCTGTGATTTTTCCCATCCCATTTTTAAAGCTGAGTTTTTCTTTTCCAATCCATTTTTTAACCCTTGGGCTTTTCCCATCCCATTTTTTCACCTATGATTTTTCCCATCCCATATTTAAACCTGTCTTTTCCCCCTCCCATTTTTAACCTTTTTGCTTTTCCAATGCCGTTGTTTTTTTAACCCTTGTGATTCTCTTTTGAAGCTGAGTTGGTTTTTACCTTTTTTTTTTTTTTCCTGATTTCCTGTGGATTTCAGGCAGTTTTCCTGTGGTTTTTGTGCTGATTTCCCATGGATTTCAGGGCAATTCCTGTGGGTTTTTTTTTTTTGCTGATTTCCCGTGAATTTCAGTGAGTTTTCCCTTTGATTTTTTGCTGATTTCCTTTGGAATTTCACTGATTTTTGTGGATTTCAGGGCGATTCCTGCTCCTTCCGGCACTGCGAGGCCGCCCTGGGCAGCGAGACTGTCTGCACGCTGTGGCAGGAGGGGAGATGCTTCAGGAACATCTGCAGGTTCAGGCACATGGAAATCGATGTGAGTGCTCCCCAAAATCCCTCTCCTCACCCCAAAAATCCCTGCCACAGCCTCCCAGGGATCTGGGGGCATTAATATCCTTCCCCAGCAGGGATTTGGCTTACCAGGAGGGAGGTAAAGGAGGAAAAAAAATTGATTTTTGAGGTGTTTTTCTTGTATTAAATGATGTTGTTGCCTAAATTTTTGCTAGAGAACCCACGTGGATCTCACTCTTTAAATGTGGTAGGAAAAAAAAATCCTGAGAGATGGAATTTTTCCCCAAATTTTTTATCCTAAGGTGGAATTTTCCCCAAATTTTTTATCCTAAGTTAGAATTTTTGCCAGATTTTTTTATCCTGAGCTCTTGGAATTCCTAAAAGCTGGAATTTTCCTCAAATTTTTTTATCCTGAGCTGGAATTTCTTCCCAGATTTTTTATCCTGCGCTCTTGGAATTCCTGAGAGCTGGAATTTCTCTCTAAATTTTTTATCCTAAGCTGGAATTTTCCCCAGATTTTTTATCCTAAGATGGAATTTCTTCCTAAATTTTTTTATCCTGAGCTCTTGGAATTCCTAAAAGCTGGAAATTCTCTTTAAATTTATCCTGAGCTATTGGAATTCCTGAGAGCTGGAATTTCTCTCTAAATTTTTTATCCTAAGCTGGAATTTTCCCCAAATTTTTTATCCTAAGATGGAATTTCTTCCTAAATTTTTTTATCCTGAGTTCTTGGAATTCCTAAAAGCTGGAAATTCTCTTTAAATTTATCCTGAGCTATTGGAATTCCTGAGAGCTGGAATTTCTCTCTAAATTTTTTATCCTAAGATGGAATTTTCCCCAAATTTTTTATCCTAAGCTGGAATTTCTCCCTAAATTTTTTATCCTGAGCTCTTGGAATTTCTGGGAGCCGGATTAAAATTGACTTTTTTTCTCTGGGAATAATCCCATTATTTTGAATTTTATATTCATTTAACCCCGTGACAGAGCAAAAATTGAATTTTTTCTCTGGGAATAATCCCATTATTTTGAATTTTATATTCATTTAACCCCACGATGCCGTCCTGCTGAACGAAAAAACCCATCAAAATTCCAATTTTTCCACTCTCTAAACCTTTTCCTTGTTAACAGAGTGAGTGGGATTCTCCAGGGGGGAATTCCCTGAGTTTGGATTTGTGTTTTTTTCCCAGAAAAAGAGGAGTGAGATCGCCTGTTACTGGGAGAACCAGCCCGGGGGCTGCCAGAAGCACAACTGCGCCTTCCACCACGCCAAGGGCCGCTACGTGGACGGGCTCTTCCTGCCCCCCAGCAAGAGTGAGATTGCAACTTCATTTTTCCTTAAAATCGCTAAAAATTCATGGGGAATATTGCTTAAAATTAGCTGGATGTGGGTCTGAGCAAAAGAGAGTTTTCCATCACATTTTTCCTTAAAATAGCCAAAAATTCATGCTGAATATTCCTTAAAATTACAGGGACAAGCTGCTCCTTCCTCCCAGCAAAAATGAGTTTTCCACCTCTTTTTCCCTCAAAATAGCCAAAAGTTCATGCTGAATATTGCTTAAATTTGGGTCTGAGCAAAAGTGAGTTTGCAACTTAATTTTCCCTCAAATTATCCAAGAATTCATGCTGAATATTCCATTAAATTATGTGCAGGCTCAAGGAATTGTTTTGTGGCTGAAGGGGAGTTTGCAGTCAGGGGAAAACAGCAAAATTCTAATTTTAAATTGTTTTTCCTTGCTCTGTTCTTGGTGATTTTTGCTTTTCAAGGTTCCTTTTCCCTCCTCTTCAATCTCTTTATGGGTGGGGAATACAGAACTGAATCCAGGAACGTTTTATTCTTAAATTTTCAACTTTATCCTCAAAATTTGGGGTATTTTTGCTTTCCAACCACGTTTCCTGAAAGAGGGTATTTGCAGTCAGGGGAAAATTCTAATTTTAAATCTTTTGCTTGGTGATTTTTGCTGATTAAAAGGTTCCTTTTCCTTCTCCTTCAATCCCTTTATAGGTGAGGATTACAGATCTGAATCCAGGAGTGTTTTATTCTTAAATTTTCAACTTTAGCCTCAAAACTTGGGATATTTTTCCTTTGCAGCCACACTTCCTGAAAAGGAAATTTTACAGTCAGAGGAAAGGAGGAAAAATTCTAATTTTAATTTTTTTTCATTGCATTTTGCTTGGTGATTTTTGCTTTTCAAGGTTCCTTTTCCCTTCTCCTTCAATCCCTCTATGGGTGGGGAATACAGAATTTAGTCTGGGAGTGTTTTGTTGTTAAATTTACAACTTTATCCTCAAATTTTGTGCTGTTTTTCCTTTGCAGCCACCCTGCCAAGCCCCCCTGAGGCTGCAGAGGACGAGGTGAAGCTGGTGCAGCTGCAGCAGAACAAACTCTCCGTCCAGTCCAACCCCTCCCCACAGCTCAGGGGGGTGATGAAAGTGGAAAATTCGGAGAATGTTCCCAGTCCCACCCATCCCCCTGTGGTCATCAACGCTGCAGATGATGATGAAGATGATGATGGTGAGAAATCTGTAATTTATTTTGAGTATTTATGCTTTAAATCGGGATAAACATCACAAAAATTTGGGATTTATGCGCTGGTTTAAGCTGCAGAAATGAGAGATAAATATTTTTAAGGGTTGAAATATTAAACCACCTAAAAATTAAAAATTTTTGTTCAATCTCTAGTACATAAATGATTTTATTTTGGGTTTGATTTTCCTTTCCAGACCAGCTTTCTGAAGAAGGAGAAGAAACCAAGACCCCAGTGCAGCCCCCAGCCACAGAAACCCACAATGGGCTGAGGGTGATTTCCACCAGGAAATCCAATCCCACTGCAAAGCAAGGTATTCCAGGGGCTGCAGGAGGGAATTTCACAGCTAAAAGCAAAATATTCCCAAAATCAAACACAGCCCAGGGGTGCTGGGTGGAATCCAGGAGTCCATTCCCACATCACCACCTTCCCCAGGCAGGGAAAAGCCTCCTGGATTGGTTTTGGGGGAGAAAATGGAGTTTAGAGCGGAGTTGGAAGAGGTTTAAAGTGGAGTTGAGAGAGAGTTTAAAGTGGAGTTGGGAGAGGTTTAAGTGGAGTTGAAATGGAGTTTTGAGTGGAGTTGGGAGAGAGTTTAAAAGTGCAGTTCAGGGAGGTTTAAGTGGAGTTTAGGGAGGTTTGAGTGGAGGTCAGGGAGAGTTTGGGGTGGAGTTGAGATGGAGTTTAGAGTGGAGTTGGGAGAGAGTTTAGAGTAGAGTTGGGAGAGAGTTTAAAGTGGAGTTGAAATGGAATTTAGAGTGGAGTTAGGAGAGAGTTTAGGGTGCAATTGAGAGAGGTTTAAGTGGAGTTGGGAGAGAGTTTAGAGTGAACTTTAGGGATGTTGGAGTGGAGTTGAGAGAGAGTTAAAAGTGGAGTTGAAATGGAGTTTAGAGTGGAGTTTAAATGGAGTTGAGAGTGGAGTTAGGAGGGAGTTTAAAGTGGAGTTTAGGGAGTTTTGAGAGGTATTGAAATTGAGTTTTAAGTGGCGTTTAGGGAGGTTTAAGTAGAATTGGAAGAGTTTAAAGTGGAGTTGGGAGATGTTTAAGTGGAATTGGGAGAGAGTTTAAGGGGAATTCGGAGAGGTTTAAGTGGACTTGAGAGAGTTGAAAATGGAGTTGGGAGAGAGTTTAAAGTGAAGTTTAGGGAGGTTTGAGTGGAGTTCAGAGAGAGTTTAGAGTGGAGTTGGGAGAGAGTTTAAAGTGAAGTTTAGGGAGGTCTGAGTGGAGTTGGTTTGAGTGGAGTTGGGAGATGTTTGAGTGGAGTTTAGGGAGGTTTGAGTGGAGTTCAGAGAGAGTTTAGAGTGGAGTTGGGAGAGAGTTTAGAGTGGAGTTTAGGGAGGTTTAAATGGAGTTTAAAGTGGAGTTTGAAGAGAGTTTAATGTGGAGTTTAAATGTCTGAAATGTCCCTTCAGGCACTGTGGAAATCCAGATCCAAGGAATTCAGGAATCTTTAATCCCTCTCCATGACTTTGTGCTCAAAAGTGTGGATTTTCCCTCGGAGGGGGAAAAAGCTGCCAATTTTCCAAAATCCCACTTTTTTTGGGCTTTTTACCTCCTGGGGAATGTTGGCAGGGTTTATTCCAAATATTTTGGGAAGGATTTACCTCCATTTCCGGAACTGTTCTGTGCTTCCAGATGACAACTTAAATTTTGGAATAAAAACCTTGGAAGAGATCAAACTGAAGAAACTCAAGGAAAAAGCCAAAAAACAAGGTGGTGAGTTAATATCCCTAAAATCCCTCCTTAATCTTCTGCCTTCTGTTCATCCTTGTCTTTAATCCTGATTTTCCTTGGATAATTTACAAGGAAATTAAATTTTTTTTGCAAATTGGGAGATCCTACAAGGACAAACTTCCATTTTTTTTTTAGAGGGGCTACTCTGGTGTGTGGCAGCTGGTTTTGCTGATTGGAATTCCAAGGAAAAATGTTAAATATCTTGTTTTTTCCGTGTTTTTCCATGCAGAAGGTCCTTCAGGAGTGGCTGTGGAGCCTCTCCAAGCCCGGAGCATTCCCGTGCCAGAGAAGGAAAACGTCCGGACCGTGCTGAGAACTGTGACCCTCTCCTCCAAGGAAGGTAATCCCAAATTCCCAAAATTCCCATTCCACTGCATTCCCACTCACTCAGTTAGGGTAATTACCTTAATAATCCTCAGATTGATTATTAGGATAAATATCCTAATAATTATTAATAATAATAAGTAGGATATTATATTATATTGTGTTGTATTGTATTATCTTATATTATATATTATATATTATTATATGTAATATGTAATATAATATATAATACATTATGTATATAACATATATATAATATATCATATTTTAATATATCTTGTTGTATATTATATATTAATATATATAAATATAATAGAATATATATTTTCTATAATATATATTATTTATATAAAATATACATTATATATTTTATATAATATATTCATATATTTTTGTTTTTATATAATATCTATTACAATTAATACATATATTAGTAGATATTTTTTATATTATATTGCATTTTATATTATAGTATATTATACTATATTGTATTATGGTATATTATATTATATTATGGTATCTTATATTTTATTATATTCTAGTATATTATAGTATACTGTATTATATTATTAATAATATTGATTAGGATTACTATCCTAATAGTATTAGGATAATTATCCTAATAACCCTGAGTTGCACTGCTGCCTTTCCTGATTGGAATTTCAAAGGCTGTATTGGAAAAGTTGGGAATTTTTGTAGGTTGGGATTAAAGTTGTGGAAGTTTTATCATTCAAACCAATTCTCCTCGCACTCCTTCTTTAATTCCTGTGCTTTGGCAGCCAGAAAACGGCTTTTTTTTGGGGGGGGTGGTGGGGAATAAGAGGATTGGGAATGCTTTGGTGCACTGAAATGTGATTTCTTGTTTTAGGGGAGGACCCTGTGATCCAGCTGAACCTTCCTGACAGACTGGGAAAAAGGAAAACCCTCATGGGTGAGAGCTTTTTGTGAAATATTTACATCAAAACCAGCAAATTCTGTTAACAGCTAAACACCAAAACTATTCCAAACTCATCTGGGGGGATTCAGGTTCCTGGGGGTTGTTCTAAACCCTCCTGCAGAGGAAGATTCTGAAGGAATTTCTCATTTTTTGTCTTCTTGAAGGTGGGAAAACTTTCCTGCCCCTGAGGAGGAGCGTTGCTGACAGGCTGGGGAGGAAGGCAGAGCTGCAGGAAAATGCTGAAAAGGCCCCAAAAAGAGGCACAGGTACCAAAACCAGCTGGAATTCCCACCTGGAACCTGGCCCAGCTGTTCTGGGGGGATTTTCTGGGATTTTCTGTTGGGATTTTCTGTCCAGCATTTCTGTTTGGGATTTTCTGCTTGGGATTTTCTGTGCAGCTTTTCCCTTCGGATTTTCTGTCCATCTTTTCTGTTTAAGGTTTTCTGTCCAGCTTTTCCCGTTGGATTTTCTGTCCATCTTTTCTGTTTGGGATTTTCTGTCCAGCTTTTCTGGTTGGGGTTTTGTGTCCAGCTTTCCCCTTTGGATTTTCTGTTCCTCCTTCTCCTGCTTCTTTTTGCACATTGGTTGAGGGTTCAAGGTCACTCTGTGCTCTCCTGTCTCATTTCCCACCCAAAACGGGAATTTTTGCCATTTTTTTTAACTTTTCCTCTTGTTTTTTAGTTCAAGTCCTGAAGTCCCTGAAGGAGAGGCTGGGGCTGCCCTCTGAGCAGAGCAGCACTGAGACAGGTAAAAATTAGATTTGAAATATTCCTTTTTTGTTTCCTTTTCCTTCTTTGCTTCCCAAGAACTCCCATGCCACCTTAAATTGTTAATTTTAAAGGATGACTGACTCTGACTTTACAAATCCAAGTGGTTTAGAGGAGAGGGGGGAGTTTATTGCTCAGGGAATTGGGATTGTTCAGCCTGGAGAAGGAGGGATTTTGGGGTGATCTCATTGTGTCCTGAAGGGAAACCTGCAGGAAAGATGGAGAGGGAATATTCCCAGGGAATGGAGGGACAAGATGAGGGGAGTGACTGCAGATTGATGGGGTTGGATGGGTTTTTGGGAATAAATCCTTCCCTGGAAGGGGCTGGGATGGAATTCCCAGAGGAGCTGGGGCTGCTCCATCTCTGGGATTGCCCAAGGCGAGGTTAGAGAATGAAAAAAGTGAATAAAATGGGTAAAATGGGTAAAAGTGCACCCTGGGATAGTGGGATTGGATGATCCCTCCCAACCCAACCCATTCCAGGATTCCCTGGGCTGCTTTGGATGGGATATTGGGAATAAATCCTTCCCTGGGAGGGAATTCCAGAGGAGCTGAGGCTGCTCCACCCCTGGGAGTGTCCCAGGATGGGTTGGAGCAGCCTGGGACAGGGGAAAGAGTCCCTGGGTGATCCTTAAAGTCCTTCCAATCCCAAATTTCCCTCAGTGCTGGGAGAAATTCTGGGGATGTTTCCCCCTCCTTGATCTCTCTTTCACTCCTGGGTTGGATTTTTGTGCCCTCAGACAAAGCTGCCAAGCCCATCGAGGAGATCCGGGTGAAAACCCTGGAGGAAATCCGCCTGGAAAGGGCCAGCCAGAGGAGAGGGGAACCTCCAGCCAAAATCCCAGCAGAAGGAAGGAAAACGGAAGATCCCAATTTAGGAGCAAGACCCTCCCTTGCTGCCCGCACCAAATCCCTGGCGGGAGCCCTGGTGGAGAAAAACCACAAAAGTTTGGGAGAGGAGAAGGAAAAAAACGAGGAATTCAACAGCAGGGCCAAAAGTGAGGCTGAAGGCAGGAGACAGAACATTCCTGCTCCAGCTGTGGCAGGCAGGGTGCAGCTGGCAGAGCCTGGCAGAGCCAGGGCAGCTGGAGAAGTTCGGATCAAAACCTTGGAGGAGATCAAGAGGGAGAAGGCGCTGAGGATGCAGCAGAGCGGGGAGAACGTTCCTGCTCCTGCTGCTGCTCCTGCTGCTGCTGCCCCGGCCGAGGCTGCCCTGAGGGGCAGGAGGCTGCTGAGGGTCACCAAGCTCCTGGGTGAGATGGGAACTGGGTTTCTCCTGGGAATGGGGGTTCCTTTGGGAGTTGGGGTTCTTCTGGGAGCTGGGGTTACACCCTGAGAATTGGGGTTCCATCCTGGGAATTTGGGTTCTCCTGGGAGCTGGGGTTACACCCTGGGAATTGGGGTTCCACCCTGGGGATTTGGGTTCTCCTGGGAGCTGGGGTTACAGCCTGGGGATTGGGGTTCCATCCTGGGAATTTGGGTTCTCCTGGGAGCTGGGGTTACAGCCTGGGGATTTGGGTTCTTCTGGGAGCTGGGGTTACACCCTGGGAATTGGGGTTCCATCCTGGGAATTTGGGTTCTCCTGGGAACTGGGGTTAGAGCCTGGGGATTTGGGTTCCACCCTGGGGATTGGGGTTCTCCTGGGGATGAAGGCTCCCTGGGAACTAGGGTTCTTCTAGGAGTTGGGGTTCCACCCTGGGGATTGGGGTTCTCCTGGGAATTGTGCTTCCCCCTTGGGAATTGTGCTTCTCCCTTGGGAATTGGGGTTCTCCTTGGGAATTTTGCTCCCCCCTGGGAATTGGGGTTCCACCTGGGGATTTGGGTTCTCCGGGGGATTGGGGTTCCACCTGGGAATTGGGGTTCTCCTGGGAATTTGGCTTCCTTTGGGAATTGAGGTTCCACCCTGGGGATTGGGGCGTTTCACCTGGGGATTGGGGGGTTTCACCTGGGAATTTGGCTTCTCCTGGGAATTTTGTTTCTTTAGGGGATTGGGATTCCACCCTGGGGATTGGGTTCCATGCTGAGGATTGGGGTTCCACCTGGGAATTGGGCTCCTCCCTGGGAATTGTGCTCCTTTGGGAATTGGGCTCCACCTGGGGATTTGCCTTCTCATGGGAATTGGGCTTCCCCCTTGGGAGTTGTGCTCCCATCATCCACAGTGGGACTGAAGGAGAGAGAAAATCCTGCAGGAATTGCTTCCTGTTCATAAAAATAGGGAAATAACCCCCTCAAGAAACCCAAAAAAAACCCAATTTTGGATGTTTTTTCTTGGTTTAAAGCACCCGGAAGAGAAGAAAAGATGATCGTAGAGCTGAACAAACCTTCCCCCAAAAGTGGCTCTGCAGCTGCTGAGGTGAGTCTGAGCAAACTGACAATAAAAACTTTACAGTTCTGATCAATTCCTCCCCTTTCTGATCAATTCTTACCCATAGATTTTTTTTTATCCATAGATTTTTATCCATAAGTTTTTTTATCCATACAATTTTTACCCATAAGATTTTTTAACCCATAGATTTTATCCAGAGATAATTTTTTGTCCCTACATTTTTATCCATAGAGATTTTTATCCATACATTTTTTATCTATAAATCCTTTTATCCATAGGGTTTTTTTACCCATAGATTTTTATTCACACATTTTTTATCCATACTTTTTTTTTTAAACCATAGATGATTTTTTTATCCATAGATTTTTTTATCCCTAGTTTTTATCCCTGGGTTTTTATCCCTACATTTTTATCCCTAAGTTTTTATCCTTGAGTTTTATCCTTAGGGTTTTTTATACCTGGGTTTTTTATACCTGGGTTTTTTATCCTTAAGTTTTTATCCCTAAGTTATTATCCCTAGGTTTTGATCCACACATTTTTTATCCATACTTTTTTTTTACACATAGGTTTTATCCCCAGGTTTTTATCCCTGGGTTTTATCCCTAGATCTTCACCCCAATAACCCTCTCGGTGTTTTTCCAAACCCTGTCAGAATTCAGGGAATTCTGGAGTTCAGGTGAAAAGCCTGGAGGAAATCATGTGGGAGAAACGGCAGCAGGAGAAACTGCAGCAGGGACCTGGGACAGTTCCAGCTGGGAACCTGGAGAGGAACCAGGAGAGGAGCCCAGAGAAGAACCAGGAGAGAAATCAGGAGAGAAATCAGGAGAAGATCCAGAGGATCCAGGAGAGGAACCAGGAGAACCAAGAGAGGAACCAGAAAAACCAGGAGAGGAGCCCAGAGAAGAACCACGAGAAAAACCAGGAGAGGAATCTGAGGAACCAGGGGAGAAACCAGGACAGGAACCAGAGGAACCAGGAGGAGAACCAGGAGAGAAACCTGAGGATCCAGGAGAGGAACCAGAGGAACCTGGAGAGAAACCAGGAGAAGAACCAGAAAAACCAGGAGAGGAACCTGAGGAGCCAGGAGAGGAACGAGGAGAAGAACCAGGAGAAGAACCTGAGGATGATCCAGGAGAGGAACCAGGAGAAGCCCCCGGGCTCAGGGAGCCCCGAGGCCACAGTGGGGCCAGCCCAGCTGGGCAGGAGGAGAGGGGGCAGATCCCAGGAGGACGTTGGGACAAACCCCGAGAGGGACCTGGGCAAAAAGGGAGCTCAGCTGCCCGAGAGGAGAGGCAGAGGTGGGCTTGGGGTTTGGGGGGACCTGCTGGGGTTTTTGGGGATGTTTTAGGGCTGGGGTTCCTGGGAATCTGTGGGATTGGGGTTTGTGGGGATGTTCTGGAGTTTGGGGGGCTGGGGTTGGGGTTTGTGGGGACGTTCTGGGGTTTGTGGAAATGCTCTGGGATTGAGATTTGTGGGAATCTCTGGGGTTTGTGGGAACGTTTTGGGGTTTGTGGGAATCTCTGGGGTTTGTGGGGATGGTTCATGTGGGGTTGGGGTTTAGGGAGCTCAGCTGCCCAAGATTTCATAGATAAAGGGGATTTGATAAAGGGATTTGATTGAGAAAGGGGATTTGATAGAGGAATTTGATAAAGGGGGTTGGTTGGTAAAGGGATTTATCCTTTTGATTGATAAAGGGGATTTTATAGATAAAGTGGTTTGGTTGATAAAAGGGTTTGATTGAGGAATTTGATAAATAAAGGGATTTATTGATAAAGGGATTTATCCTTTTGATAGATAAAGGGGATTTGATAGATAAAGGTTTTTGATAAAGGGGTTTGATTGAGGAATTTGATAAAGGGATTTATTGACAAAGGGGTTTGATAGATAAAGGGGTTTGATGAAAGGATTTGATAAAGGGGTTTGATAGATAAAGGGGTTGATAAGGGAAGGGATTTGATTGATAAAGGAAGGCATTTGATAAATTTTTGCCTTTTTTTTTCCCTTTTTTGCATTCCTTTTCCCTTTTTTCCCTCCTTTGCCTCCACCCCAGCCAAATCCAGGGTGTGCCTGAAGCCTGTGGATGCCAGAGCCCCTCCCAAGCAGCCCCTGAAGAGGAAGGTCCCCGAGGGCCACCCCCCTGCTGTGGTGGCAGTGAAGCCACTCAGTGCCACCAGCGGGGACACCCCGGAGCCCCCAGCCAAGGTAAGGCCCCAAAAACCCTCACATTCCCCCAAAAAAACCCTGGGAAAAATGAAATTCTCTCCAGCTCTCCCATACCTTTTCACCCCAGAACTGTCAGGGGCAGCAAATCCCTGCTTTGGAGGCACCTCCAGAATTCCCTGCTGGGATTTGGGAAGGATTTTGGCAAAAATTCCTTTTAAAAAATCCCCAAATTCCTCGTTTCAGGAATGCCCTGCTTCAGGTGAGGCAGAAAAAAAAAGAATCTCCTCAAATTTGGGATTTTTTTCCTCGTTTCAGGAATTATTTCATTTCAGGAATCTCTAAAATTTGGGAAATTTCCTCATTTCAGGAATGCTTAAAATTTCATTTCAGGAATTTCATTTCAGGAATCCCTAAAATTTTGGAGTTTTTCTCATTTCAGGAATGATCTCATTTCAGAAATTTCATTTCAGGAATCCCTAAAATTTGAGAGTTTTCCTCATTTCAGGAATGCCCTGCTTCAGGTGAAGCAGAAAAAGAAGAATCTCCTACAATTTGGGAATTTTCCTCATTTCAGAAATTATTTCATTTCAGGAATCCCTAAAATTTGGGAATTTTCCTCATACCAGGAATCTTTTCATTCCAGAAATTTCCTTTCAGGAATCCCTAAAATTTGGGAATTTTCCTCATACCAGGAATCTTTTCATTCCAGAAATTTCATTTCAGGAATCCCTAAAATTTGGGAATTTTCCTCATTTCAGGAATGATTTCCTTTCAGGAATCCCTAAATTTAGGCTATTTCAGCTCCTAACCCTTGTCCTGCTCCCCTTTCCCAGGTGGTTCCCAGCCCCGAGGGCTCCTGGCCTCGGAGGGACAATTCCCAGAGCAGGTAACCCCGACCCCAAATTCCCTCTGGGGTGGGCAGGGGGGAATGGTCCCAAAATCCTGCAGGGGAGCTGATAATTGCAATTAATGCTGCAGCTCTGGGTTCCTGCAGGTGCTGCACTGGGGCACTCCCCAGAACTGATCCAGGAATCTCCAAAATTGATCCAGAATCCTCAAAACTGATCCAGGAATGCCCAGAATTGATCCAGGGATGCCCAGAATTGATCCAGGAATGCCCAAAACCAATTCTGGACTCCCAAAATTAATCCAGGACTTTCCAAAACCAATCCTGGACTCCCCAGAATTGATCCTGGACTTCCCAAAATTGATCCTGGACTCCCCAAATCTGATCTAGCCCCCCCAAACCCAATCCCAGCCCCCCCAAACCCAATCCCAGCCCCCCCAAAACCCAATCCCAGCCCCCTCAAACCCAATCCAGAACTCCCCAAACCCAATCCTGGACTCCCCAAATCCGATCTAGCCCCACCAAAACCAGTCCCAGTCCCCCCAAACCCAATCCCAGTCCCCCCAAACCAATCCAGGACTCCCCAAACCTGATCCAGGACTCCCCAAACTGATCCAGGACTCCCCAAATCTGATCTAGCCCCCCAAACCCAGTCCCAGTCCCCCACAAACCCAATCCCAGTCCCCCCAAACCCAATCCAGGACTCCCCAAAACCAATCCAGGACTCCCCAGACCTGATCCAGGACTCCCCAAATCTGATCTAGCCCCCTTAAATCCAGTCCCAACCTCCCCAAACCCAGTCCCAGCCCCCCAAACCCAATCCCAGTCCCCCCCAAACCAATCCAGGACTCCCCAAACCTGATCCTAGACTCCCCAAATCTGATCTAGCCCCCCCAAACCCAATCCCAGCTCCCCCAAACCCAATCCCAGCCCACTCAAACCCAATCCAGGACTCCCCAAACCCAATCCTGGACTCCCCAAATCTGATCTAGCCCCCCCAAACCCAATCCCAGTCCCCCCAAACTCAATCCCAGTCCCCCAAACCCAATCCCAGCTCCTCCAAACCCAATCCCAGTTACCCCAAAACCAATCCAGGACTCCTCAAACCTGATCCAGGACTCCCCAAAACCAATCCAGGACTCCCCAAATCTGATCTAGCCCCCCCAAACCCAGTCCCAACCCCCCCAAACCCAGTCCCAGCCCCCCAAACCCAATCCCAGTCCCCCCAAACCAATCCAGGACTCCCCAAACCTGATCCAGGACTCCCCAAAACTGATCCAGGACTCCCCAAACCTGATCCAGGACTCCCCAAACCCAATCCCAGTCCCCCCAAACCTGATCCAGGACTCCCCAAAACTGATCCTGAACTCACCAAATCTGATCTAGCCACCCCAAACCCAATCCCAGTCCCCCCAAACCAATCCAGGACTCCCCAAACCCAATCCAGGACTCCCCAAACCCAATCCAGGACTCCCCAAAACTGATCCAGGACTCCCCAAAACTGATCCAGGACTCCCCAAAACTGATCCAGGACTCCCCAAAACTGATCCAGGACTCCCCAAATCTGATCTAGCCCCCTCAAACCCAATCCAGGACTCCCCAAACCCAATCCAGGACTCCCCAAACCCAATCCTGGACTCCCCAAACCAAATCCTGGACTCCCCAGACCCGATCCAGGACTCCCCAAATCTGATCTAGCCCCCCCAAACCCAATCCCAGCCCCCTCAAACCCAATCCTGGACTCCCCAGACCCAATCCAGGACTCCCCAAATCTGATCTAGCCCCCTTAAACCCAGTCCCAGCCCCGCCAAACCCAGTCCCAGCCCCCCCAAACCCAGTCCCAGCCCACCCCAAACCAAATCCCAGCCCCTCCCACCCTCCCTAATCCCCCCTGTAAAACCCCAAACTCCTCCTCGGGTCCCTCCCATGCTGACTTCTCCCTTTTCCTGCCCTGCCAGTCCCCAGCCTGGCAGCCAGGGGCATTCCCTGGCACAGGCAGAGGTGTCGGGATCCTCTTCCTCCTCCTCCTCCTCCTCGTCCCTGGAGGCGCCGCTGAAGCTGCGGCGCCTGAGCTCGGCCGGCGCCGCCAAAGCCGCGCTCTCGGTGGAGGACGACTTCGAGAAACTCATCTGGGAAATCTCCGGGGGAAAACTGGAGGCAGAAATCGACCTGGATCCAGGCAAGGACGAGGATGATCTCCTGCTGGAACTCTCCGAGATGATCGACAGCTGAAAGTGAAGGATTTTATGGGGAAAAAAGATAAAAGAGGGCAAAAAAGACTCGACGCCAAAAAAAAAAACTAAAAAATATCAAAATTTCCTCCTGGCATCCCGAAGAAACGCTGGAAATGCTGTTGGATCCGTGCAGGAGATGCTTTCCCAGCTGGATTGTTGGTGGGAATAGGCAGAGTCTGCTCTCAGTTATCCCAAAATTCCTGATTGGGTTTGTCCCACATGGGACGGAGCACTTGGAATTCCCTGGGGGGACAACACAGATCCCATGGCAGAGCTCCCTCCTGGACAGAAAAACCCCCAAAAAATCCCTGGAGTTACTGTGTCAACTCTGGAATCCACGATGGACTCGGAATTGGGGGGAATTCAGGGGTGGAAAAACAGCAGGAGGAATTCTGGACCAAACCCTGCCAGGGTGAGCCTGGCTCCGAACGATCCGAGGGGGAGATTTTTTTTCCTGGAATTTTGGGATGGTGGAAAAATCAAAATTCCTCCTGGAATTTGGGAAAAGGAGCATTGCTTCAAGTGCCTCTGGATTTTGAGGATTTTTCCCTGTAATGAACCTCCCACATCCAGCTGGGATCGTTGTGGGAGGGAAAAAAACCCAAAAAACCACCAAAAAAAACCAAAAACCACCTGGAATATTCCCCCCTTGGCTGCTTCCCTCTTGTCCAACCTATTTTGGAGATGGGATTGAGAGGAATCCCCGTGGATTTATTTTTATTTTTCATTTTGTTAATTTTGATTTTGTTTTTTTTTTTTTTTTGTCCTGTAAATATTTTATTCTTCCATTTTATATTTGTATGATTCTATTTAAGGGATTAAAGGTAGGCTGCTCAATTGTGGTGTCCGTGCAGAGGTTTGTGCTTTTATTTAAGGAATAAAACAGTTTGGTGGGAATGCTGAAATTAATGAAATTAATTAGAAATTAATTAATAGGAAATTAATTGAAAAATAATGATACTAATGGAAAATTAATGAAATTAACGAAAAATTAATTAGAAATTAATGAAAAATTAAATTTTTGAAGATTTCGATGTTCCTCAAAGTGAGTATCTCATTCCTTAAAAAAAACCCCAAAAAACTCCCCCCCACATCCATAGTCTATTTTAACTTTATTGTGTTGGAACCTAAGACTGTATTTAACACGTTACTTAAGAGAATTAATAGAGCATAATTTTCTAAAATTGCACATATAATATTCATTGTGATATCTGCGAAAAGGCAATCATAAAATCTGCATTTTTTTCAAAAGAGCTAGGGAAAAAATCCAAGAGCAAAAAAAAAAAACCCAACAAAAAAAACCCTCTACTAGGAGAAAAAAAAAGGAAAAAAAATCCTACTAAGAGTAAAAAACTAAAAAAACAAAAAAGAAAAAAACCCTAAGAGAAAAAAAAAACAACAAACAAAAAAACCTCTACTAAGAGGAAAAAAAAACCCTACTGAGAGAAAAAAAACCCCAAACCTATTGAGAGGAAAAAACCCACAAAAAATCTACTAAGAGAAAAAAAAAACATAAAAAACAAGAAAACCCTACTAAGAGGAAAAAAACTACTAAGAGCAAAAAAACCAAACCCTACTAAGAGGGGGAAAAAAAAAAGACCCTACTAGGAGCAAAAAATAAACAAAAAAAAAACTACTAAGAGCAAAAAAAAAAAAAAAAATCCAAAAAACCTACTAAGAGGAAAAAAAACAAACCCAAAAAAACTCTACTAAGAGAAAAAAAAACAAAACCCTACTAAAAGAAAAAAAAAAACCAAAATCCTACTAAGAGGAAAAAAACAAAAAAAACCCCAAAAATCTCTAAGAGAAAAAAACCAAAAACCCTACTAAAAGAAAAAAACCAAAAAAAAACCTCTTAAGAGGAAAAAAAACCAAAAAAACCCAAAGAAACTCTACTAAGAGAAAAAAATCCAAAACCTACTAAGAGAAAAAAAAAATACTACTAAGAGCAAAAATAACCAAAAAAGAACAAAAAAGATCCTACTAAGAGAAAAACAAAAAAAACCAAAAAATAAACAAAAAAACTCCAACAAAATAAAGCCTACTAAGAGCAAAAAAAAAATAAACACGCAAAAAAAAAAAAAAGAGACACACACAAAAAAAAAAAGAGACTAAGAGCAAAAAAACCCCATAAAAATAATGATGGGGGAAAAAAGAAAAAGAAAAAATCTCGTGAGGGGCTGAGGCCGCCGCTATCCCACAATGCCCCGCGCGGCGCTCCCCTCACGCCGCCGCGCTCCCACAGTGCCCCGCGCCCGTCCGCCATTACCGCCATTACCGCCCGCTGCCGCCGTCCCCGTCCCCTCACGGCCCCGCGCAGCCATGGCCTACCGCGGGCAGGGCCAGAAGGTGCAGAAGGTGATGGTGCAGCCCATCGTATCCTGCCGGCAGCCCTCGGGGAGGGGAGGGGAGGGGAGGGAAGGGAAGGGAAGGGAAGGGAAGGGAAGGGAAGGGAAGGGAAGGGAAGGGAAGGGAAGGGAAGGGAAGGGAAGGGAAGGGAAGGGAAGGGAAGGGAAGGGAAGGGAAGGGAAGGGAAGGGAAGGGAAGGGAAGGGAAAGGGAGGGAAAGAAGGGAGAGGGAAAGGAAGGGAGGGAAAGGGAAGGGGAGAATGAAGGGGAGGGAGGGAAGGGAAGGGAAAGAGAGGGAAGAGAAAGAAAGGGAAGGGAAGGGAAGGGAAAAGAAGGGAAGGGAGAGAAGGAAGGAAGGGAGGGAAAGGAAGAAGGGAAGGAGGGGAAAAGAAGGGAGAGAGGGAAGGGAAGGGAAAGAGGGAAGGGAAGGGAAAGAGAGGGAAGGGAAGGGAGAGAATGAAGGGAAGGGAAGGGAAAGGAAAGGAAAGGAAAGGAAAGGAAAGGAAAGGAAAGGAAAGGAAAGGAAAGGAAAGGAAAGGAAAGGAAAGGAAAGGAAAGGAAAGGAAAGGAAAGGAAAGGAAAGGAAAGGGAAAGAAGGGAAAAGAAAGGAAGGGAAGGGAGGGAAAGGAAGAAGGAAAGGAGGGGAAAAGAAGGGAGAGAAGGAAGGGAAGGGAAGGGAAAGAGAGGGAAGAGAAAGAGAGGGAAGGGAAAGAAGGGGAGAGGAAGGGAAGGGAATGGCGGGTTCCCCTCAGGGTTCCCCTCAGCATCCACACCACGCTCCCGGCTCTGCTGTGCCCTTAACCCCGGCCCCAGAACCTGATCTTCCGCTACCTGCAGAACGTGAGTGCCGGCAGCGGGCTGGGGGGGAGGCACCCCCAAATCCCCCTGTGGGGCACGGCCAGGGATGGGGCAGCCACGGAGTCTGAGGGAATTCCATCCCAGCCCCTCCCAGGGGAGGATTTATTCCCAACATCCCATCCAAAGCGGCCCAGGGAATCCTGGAATGGGTTGGGATGGAAGGAATCATCCAATCCCATGGGCAGGGACACCTCCCACTATCCCAGGGTGCATTTTTACCAATTTTACCCATTTTATTCACTGTCCAACCCATCCTGGGACACTGCCAGGGATGGAGCAGCCACGGATTCTCTGGAATTCCATCCCAGCCCCTCCCAGGGAAGGATCCCCTGAAAACCCCATTTGAACCCCATAAAACCCATTTAACCCCAAAAAAACCCATTTTATACACCCAAAATCCCCATTTTATACCCCCAAAACCCCCATTTTATAACGCAAGAAAAACACATTTTTATACCCCAAAAACCACATTTTATAACCCCAAACCCCACCCAAAAATCCCATTTTATTACCCCAAAATCCCATTTTATACCCCTAAACCCTGTTTAACCCCATTTCCCCCAAACCCCTCACATGCCAGCCAGTCCCACCCCACACAGGGGTGACCCCAGATGGATTTGATGTGGGGACAAACCTCGAACCCCTTTGGGGCCGTGCTGACCCCAAACCCCTTTGGGGCTGTGCTGACCCCAAACCCCTTTGGAGCTGTGCTGACCCCAAACCCCATTTGAACCCCAAATCCCGCTCCCATCCCACAGCGATCCCGGATCCAGGTGTGGCTCTACGAGCAGGTGAACATGAGGATCGAGGGCTGCATTATTGTGAGTGCCCCGTCCTGCTTGGGGTTTTGGGGTTTTTTTGGGGTTTCTGGGAGTTTTTTTAGGATTTTGGGGTTTTTTTGGAGTTTTTCAGCGGGTTTTTTTTGGGGTTCTTTTTGGTTTTGGGGGGTGTTTTTGGGAGTGTTTTGGGGGAGTTTTTCTTTTGGTTTTTTGAGGGGGTTTGGGGATTTTTTTGGGGTTTTTTAGAGGTTTTTTTTGTTTTGTATTTTGGGGACTTTCAGGGGTGTTTTGGGGGTTATTTGGGGGTTGATTTTTTGGGGGTTTTGGGGAGGGTTTTTTTGGGGTTGCAGTGGTTTGGGCTGGTTTTTTTGGGTTTTGGGTGTTTTTTTGGGGTTTTGGGTGGTTTGGGGTGGTTTTTTTGGGGTCTTTTGGGGTTTTTTGAGGGTTTTTTGGGGGTTTTGGGTGGTTTTTTGGGGTTTCTGAGGCCGGTGCTGCTCAGCAGGGCTTTGACGAGTACATGAACCTGGTGCTGGACGATGCTGAGGAGATTCACTCCAAAACCAAGGCCAGGAAGCAGCTGGGTAGGGCAGGGGGAGAGGACCCCAAATGGGGGGCTGGGACCCCAAATTGGGGCTGGGACCCCAAATCGGGGCTGGGACCCAAAACTCTGGGACTGGGACCCAAAACTCCGGGAGTGGGACTCGTGAACCCGGGGGTGGGGTCCTGGAACCTGGATGTGGGACCTTAAATCTGGGTTTTGGGACAGGGATCCAGGCTTTGGGATTGGAATCCAGCTGTGGGACTGGGATCCAGGTTTTGGGGCTGGGATCCAAGTTCTGGAGCTGAGATTCAGCTGTGGGGCCGGGCTCCAGCTGTAGGATTGGGATGCAGGTTTTGGGATTGGTATCCAGGTTTTGGGACAGGGCTCCAGGTTTTGGGATTGGAATACAGGTTTTGGAATTGGGATCCAGGTATGGGATTGGGATCCAGCTGTGGGATTGTGCTCCAACTGTGGGATTGGGATGGGATCCACCTGTGGGATTGGTATCCAGGTTTGGGATTGGGATCCAGCTGTGGGGCCGGGCTCCAGCTGTGGGATTGGGATCCAGCTGTGGGATTGGGATCCAGCTGTGGGGCCGGGCGGGATTGGGGCGCTCCCAGCCCAAAGCCCCACCCCGACCCCGTTGGTTGCAGGTCGGATCATGCTGAAGGGGGACAACATCACCCTCCTGCAGAGCGTCTCCAGTTAGGATCGGGCTGCTCCCGGCCCCACAGCGGGATTGGGATCGCTGGGAACCCCCCGAGCTCCCGGGGGAATCGGGTTTTGTACTTTGGGGAATAAAACGGGGTTTGTTTTGTTTTTTTTTTTTCACAAAATCTGGGATTGGGGTTTCAGGGAGGAATGTTTTCCAAAGGTTTTCCCCATGTGGGATTGGATCTGGGGGGTTCAGGATCCTGGGGGTTCGAGTTTTCCCAGACCAAACCCAAAACCAATCCCATCTTTCCCAAATCAATCCCATCTTCTCAAAACCCACCCCTTCTTCCCAAAAATAATCCTTCATTTCCCAAAACAAATCCCTTTTCCAAAAAAATTCCCATTATCCCATACCAATCCCATATCCAATTGGATATGGATTGGATATCCCATAACCAATCCCTTCTTCCCAAACCAAATCCCTTTTTCCTTAAACCAGGCCTTTCTCCCCCACAAAAAATCCCTTTTCCCCAAAAGTAATCCTTTTTTTATTCCCAAAACCAATCTCTAAATCCCAAAAAAATCCTTTTCCCGAACGAATCCCTTTTCCCCAAAAACTAACCCCTTTATCCGAAAAGTAATCCTTTGTTTTTTCCGCAAATCAATTCCCTCTTCACAAAACAAATCCCTTTTTCCCAAAAAATCCTTTTCCCCAAGAACCAACCTCTTTATCCCAAAAAGAATCCTTTTTTCCCCCCCAAAACTGATCTCTTTATCCCAAAATCAAATCCCTTTTTCCCAAGAAATCCCTTCCCACTCCTCCCCCAAGCCACAGCTCTGCCTCCCTCGGGGGATTTTTCCTTCCCAGCTGGAATTCCTTTCCCGAGCCGTGGGAATTTTGTGGGAATCCTGCCTGGAGCATCCCAAATTCCTGCCAGAACCAGAGCTGGAAAAATCTTCCAGAGGGCTCCGGACAGAAGGGGGAGCTGCGAGCTCGGCTCTCCCCAATCCCGGCCGGAATTCCCGATGCCAGCTGGAATTCCCAACCCCAATCCCACCTGGAATTCCCAACCCCAATCCCGGCTGGAATTCCCAACCCAATCCCAGCTGGAATTCCCAACCCCAATTCCGGCTGGAATTTTCGATCCCAAACAGAATTCCCAACCCCAATCCAAGTTTGGCTTTCCTTGATCCCAATCCCAGCTGGAATTCCCAACCCCAATTCTGGCTGGAATTCCCAACCCAAATCCAAGTTTGGCTCTCCCTGATCCCAATCCTGGCTGGAATTCCCGATCCCAATCCCATCTGGAATTCCCAATCCCAATCCCGCCTGGAATTCCCAATCTCAGCCAGAATTCCCAACCCCAATCCCAGCTGGAATTCCCAACCCCAATCCAAGTTTGGGTCTCCCTGATCCTAATCCCATCTGGAATTCCCGATCCCAATCCCGGCTGGAATTCCCAATCCCAGCCAGAATTCCCAACCCCAATCCTGGCTGGAATTCCCAACCCCAATCCCAGCTGGAATTTTCGATCCCAGACACAATTCCCAACCCCAATCCAAGTTTGGCTTTCCTTGATCCCAATCCCAGCTGGAATTCCCAACCCCAATTCCGGCTGGAATTCCCAACCCAAATCCAAGTTTGGCTCTCCCTGATCCCAATCCCGGCTGGAATTCCCGATCCCAATCCCATCTGGAATTCCCAATTCCAATCCCATCTGGAATTCCCGATCCCAGCCAGAATTCCCAACCCCAATCCTGGCTGGAATTCCCAACCCCAATCCCGGCTGGAATTTTCGATCCCAGACAGAATTTCCAACCCAAATCCAAGTTTGGCTCTCTCCGATCCCAATCCCATCTGGAATTCCCGATCCCAATCCCATCTGGAATTCCCAACCCCAATCCCATCTGGAATTCCCGACCCCAATCCCGGCTGGAATTCCCGACCCAAATCCTGGCTGGAATTCTCAATCCCAATCCCAGCACGGCTCTCACCGATCCCAATCCCAGCTGGAATTCCCGACCCCAGCTGGAATTCCCAACCCCAATCCTGGCTGGAATTCCCAATCCCAGTTTGGCTCTCCCTGATCCAAATCCTGGATGGAATTCCCGATCCCAGACAGAATTCCCAGTCCTGATCCCTGCCGGAATTCCCAACCCCAAACGTGGCTCAGCTCTCCCTGACCCCGACCCCACAGAGACCCCACAGAGACCCCACAGAGACCCCAGGGCTGCTCGGGGGCCCTGCAGGTTTTGGGGTCGGGGGCGCAGCCCCGTTTTGGGGTCAGTGACGGCAGCAGGGCCCCCCAGATCCGTTTGGGGCCCCCTTATCAGCGGGGCTGCTGTGATAAGGGGGGCGAGAGGAAATGGGGGCAGAGAGTGTGGCGGTGTCACCCCACAGGTGTGACTCGGGAGGGTTTGTTTGCGGGAATGGGGACACCACCCCGGGAATGGGGACAGCGACCCCGGATCCTGTGGGACCCCCGGGAATGGGGACACCGCCCCTGGTCCTTATAGGATCCCGGGAATGGGGACACCACCCCGGGAATGGGGACACCGCCCCGGTCCCTGTGGGACCCCCGGGAATGGGGACACTGCCCCCGGTCCCAGACCCACGGGAATGGGAACACTGCCCCCGGGAATGGGGATACCGCCCCGGGAATGGGGACACCGCCCCGGGAATGGGGACACCGCCCCTGGTCCCTATAGGATCCCGGGAATGGGGACACCGCCCCGGGAATAGGGACACCGCCTCGGTCCCTGTGGGACCCCCGGGAATGGGGACATTGCCCCCGGGAATGGGGACACCGCCCCGGGAATAGGGACACCGCCCCGGACCCTGTGGGACCCCCGGGAATGGGGACACCGCCCCTGGTCCCTATAGGATCCCGGGATGGGGACACCGCCCCGGTCCCTGTGGGACCCCCGGCAGCGCAGCGGGATCAGCTCGGAGGCAGCAGATCCCAAATCCCATCCCAAACCTCTCCTACTGATCCCCACATCCTCCCCAAAAAAAAAATCTTTTTCCCCACAAATCCGTGCTGGAGGCGCTGCAGAGGCGGAGCCGGGCCCGTGTCCTGCTGGAATCCCCGGGAATTCCCGGGATTAGCCCAGCCCAGCCCAGCCTGGGGAGCTCGGGGGGAGCTCCGGGACTCTTCCAGCTCCTCCAGCCGGGCTGGGATCGCTCCAAGGCGGCATCCCGAGGGTGGTCACAGCCCTGGGGAGGGGAGGAACCGCGGCCAGGCTGATTCCCGCAGGGGCAGCGTCCCGGAGCGCTCCCGGGGTTCATCCCGGGGCTCATCCCGGGGCTCCTCATCCCAGAGCGCTCCCGGGGTTCATCCCGGGGCTCTCTCGGGGCTCATCCCGGAGCGCTCCCGGGGCTGCTCCCGGTCTCCCGGCTGGAGTTCCTCCTGTCTCTCCCGGCTGTTGGCAGTAGCGATGGTGTCCCTGGGCACAGCGGGTCCCTTTCCCTGCTCTTGGAATTCTGCTCCTGATATCCTACTCCTGGAATTCTGCTCTTCCCCTTGTTCCTTTCCCTACTCCTGGAATTCTGCTCTTCTCCCTGTTTCTTTCCCTGCTCCTTCCCTACTCCTGGAATTCTGCTCTTCCCCCTGTTCCTTTCCCTGCTCCTTTCCTGCTCGTGGAATTCTGCTCTTTCCCCTGTTCTTTTCCCTACTCCTGGAATTCTGCTCTTTCCCATGTTCCTTTCCCTACTCCTGGAATTCTGCTCTTTCCCCTGTTTCTTTCCCTGCTCTTTTCCTGCTCCTGGAATTCTGCTCTTTCCCATGTTTCTTTCCCTACTCTTTTCCTGCTCCTGGAATTTTGCTCCTTTCCCAGCTCCTGAAATGTTCCTCCTTCCCTTTCCCCCAGCCTTTCCACGGCCCCTGAGTGATTTCCTAGAGGGATGAGCCCCGGGATCAGCCCCGGGATCAGCTCAGGGATGAGCCCCGGGATCAGCCCCGGGATGCCGCGCCAGGAGCGCTCCGGGCCGGGCCGTCCCTTGCCGAGCGCTTTCGGGGTGCCTCGGAGCTTTTCCCCGGCGCTGCCGGAGCCAAACCCCGCCGTGCCGGGGCAGATCTGGGGGACCCGCGGCGTGGAAAATCGGGATTTTGCCGGGTGGACGCTGCTGGAGGCAGAAGCAGCTTCGTCCCGGTTGGGTTTTGTGCCCTCAGCCTGGAATGCGCAGGGAGGGAGGGCTGGAGGATGAACCCCCCGCTCTCAGCCCATCCCTGCGGGGTCCCGGGGGGTCTCTGGGTGGTCGCAGGAGGGCACAACCGTGCGAAAGCGGGGCGCGGGCAAGCAAACATTCCTTCTCGTTATTCTTGAGCGTCCCACACACGGAGCCGACCCTCGGGAAACTCCGTGCGCGGCCGGGATCTGCGGGGAGAGCAAACAATGGCATCCCCAGGGACAACAATGGCCCATTGTCCTTTGAAGGCCGAACAATGAGACAATGGCCCTCGGTCCGCTCCCTCCATTCCCAGGCACGCCCCCCCCGGGCCCCGGGGCTCCGCCGGCCCCGAGGAGCCGCCGCGCCCGCCGCTCGCTGCCCCTCGTCCCGCTGCTCCCGGGGTGAGTTTGGGGGGTCCCCGCGGCCTCTCCCGCTCGCGTGGGGTGTGCCCGTAAAAAGGAGGAGGTTTCCCTTCGCATCCTCGGTGTTTGGGCGGCGGGGAGGGGATGGAAAAGTCCCGTCGGGTCACGCCCGGAGAACAGCGGGGCTTTGTTGTCTCCGGGGGTGGCCACTTGTCAGCTCGCCCTGAAGGATTCCTGGGGAATCCGAATCCTCCTCTTCCTCCTCCTCCTCCTCCTCCTGGTGGTGTTGGGAACGAGCCCGCCCTGGAGCCGGCAGGGGGTGCCCCCCATCCTGCGGGGCCTGGGGCACCCCGAGAACCTCTGAGCCGCTCCCCAGATGTCCCCAGGCCACCTCCAGCCACCCGCTGTCCCCAGGAGCTGCGGGGTGAATTCCAGCTGGGGACAGCGCGGGTGGGTGGTGCCCACGCTGCCACCCCGAGGAGGGCACAGCCGTGGAATGCTCTCCACGGGCTCCCCAAAATCCGGGTGTGGTGGTGAGGCAGGGCTGGGGGGAGCCGGGACCGCCGTTCCAGGGTCGGGACTGCTCGGCTCGGCTCGGCTCAGTTGGCACCGGTGCCACCCCCGTGTCCCTGTCAGCATCCTCGGCCGC